AGGAGAACACATGGAAGGTTCTCGCGAACAGCTTGTCGACTGTCTACCTGGCTGGTATTGACCTTCACTGGAAACAATACCACCAAGCGTTCAGCTCACTTCACCAGGTTCTTCGGTTACCCGCCTACAACTGGGACCTTAAGAACTACTGGATTCCTTATACCAACGACTTTTGTCTCACTAAGGGGATACCTGCCACTGCTCCTGCTGAGGCCGCACCCGAGTCTATGTACTTGACAGCTGCTGCGCAAAAGATCATTGAGGTTCGGAATGAGGGAGCGATCGCCACCGTGGTTATTGAGAACAGTGTCGCCAATCCAGAGTTGAACCGTGTTATCCAGGGCCACAGGGTCAATGGAGCTGCTCTTTGCCCTTCAGTATGTATATTTCTTGTTTTATTTTCACAAATTTGTATCATGCTAACGTTGTCTAGTCTCTCTACGCGGACATTGCCCAGACTCTTGGGGAGTACTTGATCGAGAAGTACAAACCTGAGTTCAAGGGCACGGGCCTCGATGTTTGCGACGTGGCGATCACAAAGCCTCTCATTGCAAAGACTGGCCAAGAGCTCTTCCGCGTTTCTGCTACCGCCAACTGGGAGGAGAAGAACGTCACCCTGCAAGTGTACTCTGTCAACCCCGACGGCAAGAAGATCCTCGAGCACGGAGTCCTCCTCGTCAAGTTCTTCGACTGCAACGCCATCCAGCTCGAATGGAAGCGCCAGACCTATCTGATCAAGCGAAGCATCGAACGCCTTCAAGAGAGCGCAGAAGAAGGCGATGCCCACCGCATGAAACGCGGAATGGTCTACAAGCTCTTCGCCGCTCTGGTTGACTACGACGATAACTTCAGATCGATTCGTGAGGTAATCCTCGACAGCGAGCAGAGCGAAGCTACTGCGCTTGTCAAGTTCCAGGCTCCTCCTGGAGACTTCCATCGCAATCCGTTCTGGATTGACAGCTGTGGTCACTTGTCTGGATTCGTCATGAATGCCAATGATGCGACGGACTCGAAGAATCAGGTGTTTGTTAACCACGGATGGGACTCAATGCGTTGCGTAAAGAAGTTCTCGCCGGATATCACTTACCGCACTTATGTGAGGATGCAGCCCTGGCAAAACAGCATCTGGGCAGGTGATGTCTGGATCTTTGATGACAGTGATGAAGTTGTCGGCGTGTTTGGGTGTGTCAGGGTAAGTCTACACCTTGGGTACTTCTTTGGAAGGAAAAATATGCTAAAATAGAACAGTTCCAAGCGTTGCCACGCAGGATCCTCGATACTGTGCTTCCTCCCGCTGGAGCATCCAAGCCCGCTCCCTCTAAGTCCGCTCAGCGCGCGCCCATTGATGTCAAGAAATCGAACGCTAGAGTCGAGAAGAATACCCGTCCACAACCCACTAAGTCATCCGGGTCGAGTATCATTACTCGCGCACTGAGCATCCTTGCGTCGGAGGTTGGATTGTCGGAGTCTGAGATGTCCGACGACATGGTCTTCGCAGACTATGGTGTGGACTCTCTCCTTTCGCTGACTGTCACTGGCAGATATCGTGAAGAGCTTGGCATTGATCTGGAATCTTCTGTCTTCATTAACCAGCCCACAGTCAAGGATTTCAAACACTTCGTTGCTCAGATGAGCCCCGCTGATACTAGCGAGGGATCACCTAGTGAGTCCGATTCGAGTTCGGTGCATGATGACTCTTCTTCGACGGAACTTTCCAGCACAGGATCCCCAGGTCTCATTTCTCCCCCCAACGAGAAACTCTCGCAAGTCGAGAAGAATGATAGCTTGAAGGAGATCAAGGCTATCCTCATGGAGGAGATTGGCGTCTCAGAGGACGAGATTACACCAGAGGCCAACCTAGGAGAGATGGGAATGGACTCGTTGCTCTCCCTAACGGCTCTTGGTAGGATTCGGGAAACGCTGGACTTGGATCTTCCCGGTGACTTCTTTATCGAGCACCAGACTCTCGACAACATCGCGACAGTCCTGGACTTGAAGCCAAAGCAAGTCCCCGCTCCGACTCCTGTCCCTGAACCGATCAAGTTACCTGAATCTGTGCAAGATACAATGCCCAAGTCCAGTTCGTCCACAAAAATTCAGCACCCTCCCGCAACCTCGATCCTGCTTCAAGGAAACCCGAAGACTGCGACGTCGACATTGTTCCTATTCCCTGACGGCTCTGGCTCTGCCACATCATACGCCACAATTCCTGGTGTCTCTCCCGATGTCTGCATCTACGGCCTGAACTGTCCCTACATGAAGACACCCGAGAATCTCAAATTTGGCCTCGACGAGATCACCAAGCCCTATCTAAAAGAAATCCGCCGCCGACAGCCGAAAGGTCCCTATAGCTTCGGTGGCTGGTCAGCAGGAGGTATCTGCGCCTACGACGCCGCGCGCTACCTCATCCTCGAGGAAGGCGAGCAAGTCGACCGCCTTATTCTCCTCGACAGCCCCTTCCCTATTGGTCTCGAGAAACTGCCGCCTCGTCTCTACAGCTTCTTCGACACAATCGGTCTCTTTGGTGATGGAAAGACACCGCCACCTAAATGGCTGCTTCCTCACTTCCTCTCCTTTATCGACTCCTTGGATGCATATAAGGCCGTTCCATTCCCGTTCTCGGATCCTGTGCTCGGCAAAAAGACCCCTAAGACCTTCCTCGTCTGGGCTAAGGATGGTGTCTGTCCGAACGAGGACAGCCCGTACCCACCGCCAGCGGAGGACGGCAGCCCCGATCCAAGGGAAATGACCTGGTTGCTTAACAACCGAACGGACCTGGGTCCTAATAAGTGGGATACACTGGTTGGACCGGAGAATATTGGTGGAGTAACTGTTATCGAGGGTGCGAATCATTTCAATATGACCCGGGGAGAGGCTGCGAAGGAGTTGGCGAAGTTTATGGCGAATGCCATGGCAACCGAGAATATCTAATGGTGTTCTTTTGGTTTTTTCTTTCTTCAATTAGATACATCTGATTGATTGGGGTTTCGCTCATTTTGGGTCTGTTATTCATTGTTAGGCGTTGGGTTGTATCTGTCCACATATATATACTGGACATTTATTTTGATATATGCATGGAGAGTTAAAGGCCTATAGTCTAATACATATTTTCCTCAACGTTGCTTTTTAAGCCCAGTAGTTCAGGTAGTCTTTGCACGCTCGATATATATTTGTAATGCTAGCTCTCTAAATGACTATGCCCAAGTAAGGCGCGGTATATAAACCTGAAAACTCATCAAAGCTTCGACTCCCATCCACCTTCAGACTCAAATATCCTGCCCACTTCCTTAGCAACATTAAGCAGCCGTTGGTCATGGTACCTTGGTGCAATCAACGACAACCCAATTGGCAACCCATGCTTACCTCGGAACCCTGGAACGTTAATAACCGGGACATGCAGTGCCTGAAAAAGTCAGCAACTGTTCTCGCGGAGGATTTTAGTCAGATCTATATCGTACAGTCCACATATTGTTAAAAACATAACTCCCCGTATGGGAACCAACAGGCGCTTCATCAACAACGCTCGGAGTGAGAATTGCTGCATAACGACCAGCAATAGCGTCGATTTTCGGACGCAAAGCAGCCATACCGTCCAATGCACGTAGTTGATCTGCATGGGTGTATCTTTCTGTGTTCTCAACTTGTTCTACGACCGATGAGCCAAGATTTTCCTTGCCTTTTGGCCGCCGATATTCTGGTAGGAAGGATACATGGCCATCGGTGGCCTGTACGGTAGCATGCCATTGCGGGAGGTCTCTGAAGTCTGGGCCAAGGTCAATCCCGTCAACTTCGGCCCCGTGAACCTTCAATAGCGCCACAGCCTTCTCCAGCGCAGCTCTTGTACCTGGACCTGCTTTTTCCCAAATCGGGGTTCTGCAGACTGCGAACTTTGCTCTCCTTATCAAAAACCTCGTTGGCGGTGCTTCATCATCCTCAAGTTCAAAAACATCCGCGAGTAACACAAGGTCCTCGATACTACGAGCGAACAGTCCGAGTGTGTCAAAATTTAGTGAGCATATCTTCTGCCCCTCACGACTGATCACATTCCACGTTGGTTTCAACGCCCAAACACCATTGAAAGAGCCGGGGCGAATCGTGCTGCCCCCAGTTTGGGTGCCCAGGCTCACGGGGACCTGAAAGTCCGCAACGGCTGCACTGGAGCCGGAAGATGAGCCTCCTGGGGTGCGCAACTGGTCATGAGGGTTGCGGGATTTAGGACCTTCTGTTGTTGCGGAGAATTCGGTGGTTGTTGTCTTGCCGAATATCAAAGCGCCAGCGTTGCGTAGAATGAGAACCGACGCAGCATCTACTTGTGGCGCACTTCCTTCGTAGAGGGGTGAATTGTGCTGTGTTGGCATGTCTATCTCGTGTATCAGCTCTTTGTTTATGCCCGAGAGCTATAAGATATCCATACGTACTCTTGGTGTATATAACATCCTTTATACCAACAGGAACACCATGGAGAGGACCTCGCTGGCTTTGTGGGATCTGATCCAGTCTCCTAGCCTCATTCAGCACCTGTACTGGGTCTAGATAAGCCCACGCCCTGACGATGGAGTCCCGTTCCTGGATGCGCTTCAGCAGCGACTTGGCGTAGTCCTCGACCGTGAGCTCTTTTGCCCGAATCTTGCGCAGTGCTTGCGTCGCAGTCAACCGATAGAGCTCCATGTTTGAAAATAGTCTCATGAGCTGAACGGCTTAAACATAAACAACTACCGAGATAGCCTAGGGGAGGGAGGGGCTCGGCAGTTTTCCGATTCGGCGCTAAATCTGCATAGTGATGTATGGAGTAATTTCTCACCTCAGGTGTCGTTTATGAGAGCAAAAGATGTATGGATTGAGTATCAAGTTAGATGCAAGGCGATATCTAAGTCAGAATGCAATATGTATGTATAAAATCATCTGAAAATCTCTCAATAAACAGGGAAATGGCACGTAGATAGTTGGCAAATGTTTACTCCATAACAATTCAAAAACCAAATTAAAATCAAAGTAAAAGTTCACAGCGACATCTCTGAACTGAACCTCAATGCGCTACCTTTCCCATAACTCAGGCCGTTATTGCCGTTGCCAGTATTGTTGTTGATCCCAGGGCTACCCGGCCGACTCGTTGCGGCCCATTTAGGACTCCGCGGTGTACTTGTAGAACGTGTAGATGGTCGGTTCTTGCGAATTTCCCGTAAATCATCTTCCTTTCTACGTAGTAGATCTTCCCGCGAAGAAAGGATGGTTTCAAGTTCTTCGACGCGCGATAAATGCCGAGATTCATCGTTCTTTTTGTTGATTTCTCGGAGGCGAGTAGCGTCGCCCTCGACCTTGCGCTTAAGTTTCTCATTCTCGTCGCGCAGTTGACGATTCTCGTTCCCGGATTGGGCGGCCACTTTAGAGGCGTTCTGGTACTGCTCGCGGGTATATTCAGCCTGGTTTTTCTCGTAATCCGCTTTTCGCTCCAGCCCGGCTTTCTCCTTCATTAAGCGGCGAATTTCTTCCTGCGCCTTTTCTAGCTCCGCCATGCTGCCACCGCCCGCCTTGAGAGATTCCCTGGATTTCTCAAGCTCATGTCTTAGTTCTGTGCGCTCGTCTTTGACCTTTATGAGCTCCTCCTTTTGTCTTTCTAATTTCTGCTCTGCGGAAATCTTGGCCTGATCTGATTGATGACGCTCTTGTCGGACTTTGTGGAGCTCGCGAGTTCGGAATTCATAGCGATGTTGGAGCGCTTCCATTGCTTTCTCCCTCTCCTGTAACCGGGAATGTGTCTCCGCTTGAATTTTCCGAAGCCTCTCAAGCTCAGCTGCATGTGCAGTCTTCATCTGGACAAGGTTGCTCTCCAGAGCTTGTAGGCCACTACCTAGTGTTTGGCTTGGGAACTTCGTTGACTTCGCAGTGAGCTGGCTTATGTCTTGGGATGGGTCCACACGTTGCCGTTTGAAAACCGGTGTTTCAGTATCATCAACCTGTTGTTTTCATGTTAGCCGGGTTCGGGGATAGACGGCTATATATCAAAGGAGAGATTATTGACTTACATATCCACGTTTTTGAGTGGAAGTAGGCTCACTCTCAGTGTTGGCCTCACTCTGGTTTTTATTCACAGCAGAATCTAATTCCTCAGGGCTAAATATTTGCAAAGGCTCGATCGCTGGTAGGGGCCAGTTTGCGTGAAAATTATCGGATTGAAGACAAGACAAGACTTCTTCGGCGTCTTCACTTACGCCAAGCGCATTGTCTTGGAGATCACCAACCGTATCTCGTAGGCGAACGGAATACTGTATGACCAATCGCAGGTGCTGAAGCCCAGAGACGTCATGGAAACAGCGCTCAATATGCTCGCTAGTGTTGGAGACAAGGAGACGAACCACTGGTAATAAGCTTCCGTCGCGAGCATAAGTCGTGCGCATGTGCTCGACCGAGGGACTCTTCGCGTTGAAAGACCTATCCAAAGAAATAATTGCTGACGGCCGTTTATAAATCTCGATAACACCTTCACTCTGCGTTGACTGAATTCCGAAGCTTAATGACCCTTTCACCATGGAAACTTCCACGTTGGTGCCAGTCCCCATTTCCTGGCGTGGCCGTGTGTATGCAAGGCCTTTACCCAACAGATAGCGCTCCAGAATTTGGAGTGTCTTTCCTCCCTGGACCATGATTACGAGGTGCAGATCTCTATCGCTTGCAAGTTGCACAAGGTAGCCTAAGAAGAGAAACTTTGCGCTGGAATACTCCGCCCAAGCCGCTTCTTTTTGCAAATCTGACTCTGACTCGCTAATATGTTCGGCAATATTTAGATCAGGGTGTGTTGACACATTGCTCAGCTTTTCCAGAATCCCCTGTATTCTTGGAACAAGATTCCAGCGCTGTCCAAATATTAGACGAATGCATATCAAAGAAAATCGATTTTTATGCTCACCTCGTTTGCAGCCACGTTTGCATTTGGCTCCGAAGCCCGAACAAATTCCCTAATTAGTTGCGCCCCATCCGCTAGAACGCGTTCATAGTCATCCTTGACCCTCGAGTCCATTGGAAGTGGTATCGCGGATTCCGACGGCCCAAGGTGAACAGATCCCGGTGGGATATCCTGTGCGAGATAGAATGTTAACGCGCTCGGTTGAATAGTTTGCACGGTAGGGTGATTCATCTGAGTTTGTGGCTCGAATGATGCTGCAGGACCTGGCCCAATGTTTGGTTGCGCAAGATGAGCAGATTCCTTTTCATGTCTGACACTCAGCGGCGCTGTTTCTGGCACCGATAATGGGACTGAAGAATCAATATCTCCTGCAGAGGACGGGGTTGCACTAGGTTCTGGATTTTGGGAAAATAGACTGCTTTTGGCCTGCAGCTGGGCATAAGCATTTTTCATTTTTTCCCTCGGAGTAGCGCCTTCAATATGGCTGTATTTATCCATGATGCTACCTGTGGGAGTTGCCCCTGGACTTTGGCTTTGGCCGTCCATTGTATTGATTCGTGGATTTCCCGGATGGATATCACAGGTGAACAAAGACCTGCAGTTTCCGGCCTGCGAACGTGTGTTTGTTGAACCTTGAGTTTGGCTCGGCACAACTGATTCTGGTATTATCGAAGCGTGTCCGGTGCGAGCAGCAGTAATAGTTGTGTGGAATGAGTATGTTTCTTAACATAAATGAATCAACAATCAGACAAATATATTAGGTGGAAAGCACAAACCTGATGATGTAGTACCGCTGGATGAATAGGTTTGAGAGAAATTGGATTGGATGTTTATTGACTGTGTTGGAGCTTGTAATCCAGTGACCCTTTCCTGAGGATAAGATGAGCGAGATGGTGTATTCTGGGTTTGTGGTGCAGTCAACAAGGCCGGTGGTGTTTCGGCTATCTCAACCTCTTCGCCAAGTTGAGAAGTTGTTCGTTCTGGGAAAGGCAACCTGTTAAGATTGGCTTTTTCACGTACTCCGGCTTCTTTTATCCTTTGTGGCTGTTGGTCTGTTTCAGGAATGCACGGACTATCGGAGCGCGGTTGGTTGTCACCCCCTGGCACAAAAAGAGCACCTTTAGATGCGCTTGTTGTCTGCGAAATGTTCAGGGGGGTCTCTTCCGACTCTCCGGGTAGTATGAATTCCTGCGGGATCGGAGATTCTCGTACGTACTCAAACACGGGGATGTTGCGGGGCTGTTGGATGGACGATGGGGCGGCTCTGGAACTGGATGGGGCCCGTTGCGATGAGCTGAGAAGCAGTGCTCTCGTTTTTGGCGAGCGGACTAAAGGAATATCCTCTTCGTCGGACGACGCAGCATCAAACGGTACGAAAAGGGGAGAGGCTTGTTGTCGGCTTCGCGGGTAAGGAATATCCTGCTGGATCGGTTGTTGTACTTCGCATTCAACGGACTCGGTGTTCTCAATTTCGATCACGGAGCTATGGCTGGGGGTGTCCGACGTTGACGACGGTGATGAAGTTGAATGCGCTTGTAAAGGTGGGGACGTTGGGGCTTTTGTCCGACTGCTTTTCTGTTTCTTTCTATCCTCCCAAACCTTGACTGCAACGTCGTTGGCGTTGTCTTTCGGTTCCTAATCGCCAGGCGCGTAAAGTCAGCGAGTGAATGAACTCCACGGAAACGAGCGCTTTTCATCTCAAACCCACCCAGGTTGGCGACCAGGGCCCTTCCCAGTCAATTAGGTATTGCGAATCAGTCTCGTCAAGGATGCACTTGATATCCCACTCCTCGTCGTTTCCACTGTCTTCGTTTTCGCTCTCTTCAGTTTCGTTTTCTTCCGCTTCTTCGCTGGATGGTATGATAAGGTTGTTTCTTAATCGCTTCCTTCTGGGTTTTTCTGTATAACGCGCTGGTACAGAGGAGGCTTTACGTTTGCGCCACATTATGCGCGGTCAGAGAACACGGCCGAGGCGAGGTAGTCCATGATGGAGAACGGGAAATAAATAGAGGAGCTTGTTATTATAATGTATACATATATTTGGATGATTCAAGCCGGAGCCAAACCAGGGCACCACACCGGAAGAAGTCACTGGAGTTGTGAATGTATGGGGGGAGTTGTCGAGATGCACGACAGCTCAGTCGACGGAAGAGCTGCGGGATGATCGCCCGCACGTGATAAGCGCGTTATCTGCCCTATGCCAGTAGCCTTCAAATTTGTATCTGATTTCTGAATTACTCTATAATCAATAGCCTATATGTGTATTATGTGGCTAATCTATGTAACTATGTTCGCGACTGTAGTCTATAGTTTAGACTCTTGCTCTCGTTCCCTCCTCTGTTCATAGCCATAACCGAGTTCAGCAACGCTTCTGATGTTCCGTCTAGCTTCGCCTTGTTCGATAAATGCCTTCCGTATGTCCGGGAAGTGACATCGCAACCATCGTTCCTTCTCCCCCCACAGAGGGGGCAGCTTCCCAGCTCCGTCATTGGCCAGCCCGGGGCGCTTTTTAGCACTCGCGGCCCAGTTGTAAAGTAGGTCGATACTATCTGCATCTTGTGGGTATGGTAGATAATGAAAGAAAGTTCCATTGCCTTTTTCGGCAATCAAGTCTTTTTCCCAGGCTATCATCTCAGCCTGTGAGGGAAGGCTAAGGCGGCCAGACCAGACACGGGCAAAGACTGCCGCCTGGCTTTCAGCAAACGGGAATGGTACAATTCTCTGTGTAATGAGAGGAAATACCAGGGTCGGGTTGTATGTATAGAAAAGGTGCTGGTATGTATTTACCGTCCTGCGACCATCGGTGATGACAGGTGGGTCAAGCGAAGACAAGAAGGGAAACGAGTATAGATAGCCGGTACAGAACACAATTGCATCGATTTCACTTTCAACTCGGCCGTTTGCAAATCGAATGGCCCGGTCATGGTTGGCTGACGGTAAAAATTCCACGATCTCAGGGAAATAGATTTTATCGGTAGTCGGAGGCGGCTGCAGGTAAGATTCGGAACGCTCTGAAACCAGCAGCTTCCCTTTGCTCACTTCGCTTATCTGAGCACCAATATCAATCGCAGACGCAGAGCTCCCTACTACCACGACCTTCTTATCACGAAATATCGGTGGCGAGTCATAATGCTTGGAATGAGATATGACCTTTGGATACGCCTTATTCCATTCTCGAATTCCAGGAATGTCTGGCAAATAGGTGGCATCGTAGTGACCGCTGGCAACGACCACGGCATCGTAAGAGTCCGTCTTGTCGTCTCCGGTGCGCAAATTCGTTGTCGTCAACGCCCAGTCATTGGCCCCGGAAGAATTTGGTCTCAAGTCTTGTACTTGAGTCTCCAACTGGATCAAGTCCTTCACATCCTCTGCATATCCATGAAGATATCTCTTGACCACTGAGTGCCTCGGGAGAACCTGTTCCTCATCAGGGAATAGCTTATCCGAGAATCGCATCAATTCTTTGGGCAGGTTCGCTTCCAACGTGTCATAAATGGGAGAGACAAATGTCACCTCGCTTGCCCCATCCTTTGGACCCGTTGGACTCCAGACGGGATCTTCAAGCGGCCTATTTGGATTGAGTTGTGGTACTGGGGTGGGCAGTTCCCTCTTCAGTGCCCCGGGGGAGTAATTCCACACACCACCAGTAGCACTCCGCTTCTCGAAGACATCAATTTTATCAAAGCATTTCTCAGCGAGGAGATATCTAGAAGCTTGTCAGCGAGAACTCATATACCCCGTCTGGAATGGGTTCCGGGACTCCATACTTGACTGCGGCGAGACCGGATGGGCCAGCGCCAATGACCGCGATTCGGCTGACTTGTTTGGATGTTGTCATTGTCGAAAACAGAGAAACATTATCCCATACATAAAATGAGACGACTATGTCTTCTTAATCAGACCCGAGCCTGGCGACGAGGGTGGCAGCAGATATAACAGCTAGAAGACTGCGGTGTGCGGAGGATGGCATGTGAAAAGTAAGTAATGAGGTGATTGAGGAGGCCTCTTGGCACGAGATAAGAGAATATCAGCGAGAGATTAATCAATTTATATGGGATTCGCGATCGCAGGCATTCGATTGCAAAAGCATTTTATATTGCTGTTATATCGACTAGTGCCTGAGGCAGATTGGTGTAATTCTATTACATACGGATACACTATCAGCCCGCGTTATTATCTCCGATACCTGCCATATTACATGGCCATACCAAAACATCTTTCGGTGATGCAAGTTAAAGCACCTGACAGAAAACGCGTCGTTGAGCCTGCAACAAACCACAGCGCCTGGCGGTTCAGTTTTAGCCTTTTTTCTCACATTAAAGCCGGCCTATACTCTTTATTGGGATTTTTCGGAAATGCGACGATAGGAGGACATGTGCAAACTCCGTCGCGCCCGCAATCATGGACACCAATAACGACCAACCTCCGAGCTCAGATCCCGGGCACCCAACCACGATTCCCATTGCGCAAATAATCCCGGACCTCGATCGTTTATCAAAAAGCTCAATTCACGCTACAGTAACCCTAGTGTGGCCGTATTCATCCTCGACTAAGGCGTTCAGTTTTCTGTTGGCGGAGCCTGATTTCCGTCTCCGACGCTCCAATGGACAAGTCAAAGTGGTGCTTCATGGACTTGTGGCAGAGAAGGTCGCGGAGACCCGGGTTGGAATTGGCGATGAAGTTTTGCTTAGTCTAGCAGGGTCCAGGTTGGATAAGAATGAAACCGCGACCCGGACACCAGGCAGATATGTGGCTTGGGATGTGCATTTTGATGATCGCGTACACCTTGAGGTACGTGCGGATTAAGATGCTTGGGTTTGGTATGCTTACTGACTACTGCTACCAGATTTCTCGCTCGTCGAACTATTACGCAACCGTGAAAGTTGACCCTTCCGTCGAACCTGTGCAGCGCATCGAAGAACCCGCACCCCCTGTTACACCTGTGCCCAGCCGAACACGACCCGAGGAACATTTTGCGACTGGTGGCTTGGGCTCTTGGACATCTCCAGCTTTCTTTCAGCGTTCCCGTGCGTCTTTCGGTGTTAATTCGAGACTTGATCCTTTCGCAGAAGAAGATGGGTTTGTTCCGGGAAAAGGCAGAAAACGTCCCAGGTTTAGCATGCGAAGCAGCGAATGGCGCTTCATTGATGAGCCTGCGGATCCTGACGAGAAGGGTAACCCAATGGATTGGACAGAGGAACTTGAGAATGAAATCGAATCCGAGCCAGAGCCGGGACAGCCAGAGCTGGAATCGAAGGTTGACAAGGAAAGGACAGCCGAAGTTGTCGGAGCGCCTCAAGAAACGCCGATCACGGCAAGCCCTTCACCAAGCGCAGAGGCAATTCCTGCCACAACTACTGAGGATACTACAATAACTATTGTTCGACCAACTCCTGAACCTAGCGTCGATATAGAACAACCGGCCGAGCAAGATGCGGCTAAAGCTACAGAGGTTTCTCGTGAAGCTCACGAGAGTGGATTCAATATCAATGGCTTACATATTCCAATGGATACTCCACGTTTGCTTCCTATCCCGTCTCCTGGTCTTCCGGTACCGTCTCCGTTTGTTTCTGCAGATAACCGACAAGGCTACTTCTCGTCAGCAGCTGCTACTATTGCACAACTTCCAGCACCCCGGCAAAGTACAACAGCGACGCAATACGAGTCCGCAGGAGTTAAAGAAAATGTTGAGACACGGACACGAATTACCCAAACAGAAACAATTAGTGCGTCTGTTCCTCAGACGACGCATGAGGGTGCTGCCGTATCTCTCCATGAGACTGCTCCCGAAGATCCAATAGCAAGTACTACCCCCGAGCCAGGGGGTTTAATAGCAAAAGATGATGCTCAGTTTGATGAACGACGTGAAACGGCCACCACAGATGTCTACCAAGATGAACCATCCCCATATCCCAACATGGACGCTTCCGCAGAAGAAGAGCCCCGTATTGACCACATTGCAATTCTACCGCCAGAAGATGTTGAAATGGAGGACGCAGAATACCCGTTGACTAATAAACAACATGAAAATAAGGATGATGATGAAGACGATGAGTATTTCCAGGAAGCGACGTCGGATGAAGAGAGTGCCGTTGAAGAAATAGAGGGCGAAAGCGAGAATAAAAGTGAAGAAAACGACGAAGAAGAGGAAGAATATAGTGAAGATGAAGGGGATTGTGCCAACCAAGCTGTCGACATACGGAGTCATGAACTACTTAATGGACGGTATGGAACAGAGAGCACGGAAAGTCCCAATAATTCCCCCCAATCGCAAGCAGAATCCTATAGCGAACCAAAGGACCAACTTCATCACATTAAAGAAGATGAAGAGAAAGTGGATGTTGAGGACGCAGATGAGAATGAAGAAGACGAAGATATGGATAGCGAAGAGGCATCTGAAGGGGATTACGAATCTGGGTATGTGTATGAGGATGACGACGAAGATGTCGATTCAGAATCAGAATCAGACGAGCAGTATCAAGTTCAGCCTCCACAAAATAATACCCAACCAGAAATCATTGTTCTAGACAGCGATGACGAAGACAAACAGCCCGATGCGAGTTCCCAGGCACAGACGTGCGCACTTCCCATACAAGGCCAGCCCGCTTCTGACCAAGAACAGTCTGACGATGAAATCCACGCAGAGGAAGAAGATTGGACTTCTGACGAGGAAGATGAAGATGAGGTTTTGGCTCTGAGAAAATATGATGATGGAAAAGACCATCACGTTGAAGACGAAGCAGCAGCTGAAGAAGAAACAGTGAAAGATGGCGGTCAAGACCACTATGTTGAGGATGAGGATGAGGATGACTACAGCATGGATGAGGAAGAACCGGCTGAAGTTGGATCAGCGAGGGATGATGAGCAGATTCACCACGTCGAGGAAGAAGAGTCGGCTGAAGAGGAAGCAAGGAGAGATGAAGAACGGGCTGACCAAGTTGAAATGGTTGAACGGACACGCCGGACCAAAAATGAGCAGGTAGCAGAGCCGGCCAGTGATGACCAGGAGCAAGGCAGCCTAGCAGAGGACGGGCAGAGACTGGACGAACGAGAGCATGGCGAACAAAATGTTGAAACCACAACTTCAGTTGAATATGAAATAGTGGCACGCCCTGACATTGACGATTCAGTCCCTGGAAAACATCATGAGGAGGCATATGTAACAGAAGACCTTCCACAGTATTCCGAACAGGATCTTCATGAGCATCCTCGTACGCATACCCCTCGAGAAACGACTCCTGACGCCACCTCGTATCAACCTAAGACTATCCGAGATGATGTCGGATCGAGTAGGAGGCAAGAAGAAGTCGAAAAGAGTGAAGTTAGGACTGAAGAGCTCCCAAGGACAGCAGAGTTGGACCAAGATAGGGACTTTGGGTTATGGTACGACGGCGCCAGATCTCCACGAGTTGGACATGACACCACGACTATTACTACTGAGACCTTTGAACCCTCGGGTCTTTCGCCCCATGACCGACAAGCGGATGATACTCTGGAAACTGAATATAGCCATCAGGATTTCGAAAACCACTCTATAAGCGAGCAAGCTATCACATCTCAGGAGCGGGCGCCCTCGCACGAGCAAGCTGAGATTTTGGTAGAAGATGACAACGCACTGGTCGAGGCGCCCGGTGTCCCGGAAGCGAACAACGTACTGCCAATAACGGAGCAGGAATCCAGATCTGGTTCCGCTTCAGTCTCCGAACATGAATGGGCCGAAGCCAACGAATATAAAGTGGACGAAGATGTTCGAGCCCGGGAAGGGCAAGGATCTAGGTCTCCTTCCGCTTCAATCTCTCAACACGAGTGGGTCGAAGCCAACGAATACGTAGCAGATGAAGCGCAGGAAGCCGCAGACGAAGAAACATCCCTTCAATTACAGCTACAAGATGAAGCACGCGTTCGCAAATCAATTGAAGAATCAGATAGCTATACCCAGCACCCCGCAGGCCCAGATCGTCGCTATCCCGGACTCCGCAGCAAACACTCCTACTACGCGCCTCTCTCTACTCTCGTCGATCACTTCGATGCCCTAATCGACGCGGTTTCCGTCGTATCTGAAACGTCTCCCATAATCCACTCCGCGTCTGGGAACAAAGACTACTCACTGACACTCTGCCTCACCGATCCCTCCATGGTCGGCACCACGCTCACCGCACAAATCTTCCGCCCTCATCTCGATGCCCTCCCCTCCGTATCCGAAGGCGACATTATCCTCCTCCGCAATTTCAAAGTCAAGAGCTTCAACCACTACGTAATGCTTATTTCCTCCGATACAAGCGCATGGGCCGTTTTCAGCCCTTCCCAAGATGAGGCACAGATGACTGGCCGACCAGTCGAATACGACGACGAAGAGCGCACCCACGTATCCTACCTTCGCGACTGGTACCAGTCAAATGGTGCAGCTATGATTGCGGATAACCAGCTACAAGCATCAATCGTGGAAGCCAGCAGGGAGATGACGCCTATGAGCAGCGTTGCAGCTAGTGATACCGCTAGTCTCGATGATTTTCCGGGCCGTGAAGGACGCCGTGACTCGGCTCGGAGGGATCGGCGGGGGAGGAAGTCGCATCGGAGGATTACTATTCATGAGTTGAGGGATGGGAGGAGGTATACTGAGATTGGGTCACCGTCGGATCCGGAGAGTATTCATGAGCTCAGGGACGGGACTGTTTATGCGCACCTTTAATGGACGGTCTTCTAGAGGACTAGTCCGTATTCTTCTGTCTTGATACATTTGGATACCATTATGTAACTATTGGCTTTCAACAATTCTGAATTCCTTTTGGGAATAACTTTGCTAACAAGGTATTTTTGAGGTTAATCCGTTAGAGGACCTTGATGACGCTATTTCAAAACAGCTTCCCTGATTTCCTTCAGGAATACAAATCCATGCAGCGCAACAAGGTCTATTCACTGTCTGTACACTATCTAAATTCTAGCGTTGTTTGGCACAAAATAGTCAGCCCTAACGGCTGTTCTAATCAATTGGTTGGCGATGGCCGTCGGAGGTGGCAGTCGTAAGCCACCTTCCTTATATTCAGGACCAGCCTCCGCACCCAAAGGACTCGTTCCTACTCTCAGGGCCTCCTCGACTTCCTCAACCTCGAACCACCGTGCATCTTCAAGCTCTGGGTCGTGCTCCAAGCAAATTATTTCGTGAGCTGGGTCGCTACATTGCGCCACTGCCCCGATCATCAAATTAGCCGGGTAGGGCCACGGCTGTGACGAGTGGATGACAACGCGCGAGAGCTGTACACCCGCCTCCTCCCACACCTCTCTCCGAACGGCATCCTCGATCGACTCTGCAGGCTCGATGAAACCGGCCAACGTCGAGTACCAGTTCGGTGGGAAACGCTTGGAGCGGCCAAGCAGGACCCGTTTACCGTCAGAGGAAAGGACAGCGACGATGATGGTTGGGTCAGTACGCGGGAAGGATAGATTTGATATAGTAGTACGTGTGTTGCAGACTGGCTTCTCCGGCGACTTTCCTTGGGCTGTAAGAGCAGCGTCCGTTGGTGGGCAAGCACGTTTGGTTCCGGAGTTTACGGAGAGGGTAGGGCTGCCGCAGGTACCACAGAAACTGTTCCGGGTGTTCCAGTCAGCGAGCGCGCGGGCTTGTGCGTAAATGGCAGCTAAATTATGTGAGCAGGTCATCAACCCAGAATTAAAAATGCGGACGGACCTTCATCGGCAGAGAGAGTCATGACCACCCTAGTTTGAAGGAAACTCAATCCTTTTGCTTCCAAGGCGCTGATGACATCCTTTGCGTGGGTCTGCTGCTCTTCCGACCCCTTGGGGGTCACATCCACGGCAAAATACGGTGTCCCCGAGTAAATCTTCCAGGTCAGACTGTCAGCCTTCCGGGCCTCGTCCATTCCCAGGAAAATGACATGCGGATTCGTCTTGCGGGAGTCGAAGTTCTTGATCGTTTCCTCCTCGGATTGATCATAGAGATCCTCGGGCACCAATTTGTGCACATCCGTATACGGGGCAAGGTATAGCTCAGAGGGTGTCTTGGTCAACGGCGCAAGGCTATTCAAGAGAACAAAACGAGTAGAAGGGTGTTTCAATGCAGCCGAGAGAAACGAATGTTCCGTGCGCAAGAAGGACAACCGGTTCAACGGGGAGCCTGGCAGTACAGTTAGCATTCTGAACTAGCGGAATCGATTTGCACACTCTACCCAGGTAAAACAGGGACTCTTACTGGAGAAATAATTCACAGTTTCCCTTCCAAAGTGTCGAGACAACATTGATTCGGCTTGCGTGTGGGCAGGCGCGGGAATCTGGGGGAAAGTGCTCATAATGTCACTGTAAGGAAGCTAGACGCAGGATACAGAGCCAAAAAAAAAGAGATATACAAAAACAAACACCAAAAAAGACTCTATATAAGGAACGAAATTTTTGTACAAAAAACTGTATATGGAAAGAGGGAAAGAGAAAGTCGTGATTGATGGTCAAATTCCAGGGCCGAGGAGAGCGCATTAATCAGCCGGGCTGCGTTCCGATGTATTCGGAATACAATTTCACGGCCAGAATTGCAGAGAAATGCTGTAATTAATGGTAATACGCTGACACTGAAGGGGCAGCTCCCCACACACGTGATTCACGTCATTCTGACAGTCTCCAATTCTCTTATCAGAACAAGAACGCAGGAAAAACAGCGGAATATCGTATTCTCTCTTTTCGATAAGTGTATACACCTAGTTCTGGTAAGTTAATTGTCTCGCCATGTTCTCTGGGCCGACCTGCTATTCTTCACGGAATATACCCTCGACTTCCTCCGGTGCGGGGTGCTTGCGGCGCGTGTCGTCGGGTTTTCTTCAGCGGCCGTGATTGCTTACCCATCTCAATCCTTAGCCGACAGGGTCTACCAAGTATCGACCTTGGAATTGAATATATTTAACCGTGCGGGCTCGTCGATATCACGGATTATCCACCATGGGTCACCTCGTCACCCTCGCAACCTGGTGCGCCACCCCGAATCAGCTTGACTAGCCATCTCCCCACGAACCTTCATTGACTAACTGCTACAGCTCCCTCAACCAATGGGCCCTTGACTTTGAGGGAAATGCAGAGCGTATCATTGAGAGTATTCGCCAGGCCAAGGCAGCCGGTGCTACTCTGCGGGTCGGTCCAGAACTCGAGATTACTGGTATGAACAGATGTCGATATGGAGGATGGCGCGGACGTTGCATTGACCTTGTGCAGGATATGGCGCATTGGATGCTTTCTTGGAAGGTGATACGTTCTTGCACTCCTGGGAGATGTTCGCTCGCATCATCGACCACCCCGAATGCCAGGATATTGTGGTCGACGTGGGTATGCCTGTCCGTCACAGGAACGTGCACTACAACTGCCGGTGGGTAAGCGCTCGAGTCTAGCCTTGGGATCTCAGATACTGACGGGATTTGCCCTATCAAGCGTGATTTTCTACAACCGCAAGATCGTCCTGATTCGCCCTAAGATGTGGCTTGCCAATGGTTTGTATAGGCCCACTACTATCACTTCAATTGATTGCTAATAACACTTTCCTAATTAGACGGTAACTATCGCGAGTTCAGACATTTCACCCCTTGGCAGCGCCCCCAAGAAATCGAAGATTACTACCTGGAACGAATTGTTGGTAAAATCACTGGGCAATACAAGGTTCCCTTTGGCGATGCAGTTATCAGCACACGGGACACTTGCTTGGGTCTGGAGACTTGTGAAGAGTTGTTTACACCAAATGGGTATGCACATGTATCCAGACTGTAAGCGACATGACTTTACTAACTCGTTGATCAGCCCTCATATTCCATATGGCCTTGCGGGTATGGCTTGCTTTTCGTGTTGCATTTGCATCTCAATCATACTCATGTTTTATAGGTGTGGAAATCATTTCGAACTCGTCGGGCAGTCACCACGAACTCAGAAAACTTGATACCCGTGTCAACTTGATTTCACAAGCTACAAAACAGGTAAGACCTTGTTTTCCAACTGCGTTCTCCGTGACTAGGGTAACGATATCTGTAGAGTGGGGGTATTTACTTGTATGCCAACCAACAAGGCTGTGACGGCGATCGACTCTACTATGACGGGTGTGCAATGATTGTTATCAACGGCGATATTGTGGCTCAGGGAAGCCAGTTTTCTCTTAATGATGTGGAAGTCGTCACCGCTACCGTTGATATTGAAGAGGTCCGAACGCACCGCTCTAGCATTAGTCGCGGCATGCAAGCAGCGAGACAGCCTCCTTATGTTCGACTCGATCTGGACACAAGACTCTCACGCCAGGACGAGGACGCTGAACCAAGCCTTTCACCATCAGAACCTTTCAAGCCGCACTATCATGCCCCAGAGGAAGAGATCGCTCTTGGTCCCGCATGCTGGTTATGGGACTATCTTCGAAGGAGCGGTGCTGCTGGGTTTTTCCTTCCCCTGAGTGGTGGTATTGACAGCTGTGCTACAGCTGTCATTGTGCACTCTATGTGTAGGGAGGTCATTAAAGCAATTGGTCAAGGAAATGAACAAGTGATTAAAGACGCTCGCAGGCTTTGCGCTGAGCCCGAGGACTCGGCCTGGCTTCCTAACACAAGCCAAGAACTCTGCGAGTATGGACCTACTTTCTTATGTTGGAACCGAGCTCTACTAAAATCTTACTAGCCGCATCTTCTGCACCAGCTATATGGGTACTCAGAACTCAAGCAAGGAAACGAGAGAGCGATCCAAAACGCTCTCTACGGATATCGGATCCTACCACATTGACTTCAACTTTGATACCGTTGTAACCGCCTTGACGAATCTCTTTAGTGTCGTCACCAATTTCCAGCCTCGTTTCAAGGTCCATGGCGGTGGGAGGGCTGAGAATGCCGCTTTGCAGAATGTGCAGGCACGTTTGAGAATGGTCCTGTCGTACCTCTTTGCGTCTTTGCTTCCCACTGTCCGCCAGCGCCCAGGAGGTGGTGGATTGCTTGTTTTGGCATCATCCAACGTTGATGGTACGTTCTTCTCTTCCTTCACCGCCTGAGATACTTGCTAACATTACTTCAGAATGGTATGCAGAATATCCCTTATGAAGCTTTCATAATAGCTAAAATCCTTCGTTTGTATGATGTTCTCAATCACTGACCGTTTCAGCTTGCGTGGCTACCTGACCAAGTACGATGCCAGTAGTGCAGATGTAAACCTATCCTAATCCCCCTGTCAAGATATCAATGCTAATTTAATCCCTCCCCAGCTCAACCCCATTGGCTCCATAAGCAAAGTCGACCTCAAAAAATTCATCGCCTGGGCCCGCGACAACTTCGAAGTCCCCGTCCTTGATGAATTCCTTCACGCCACCCCAACTGCCGAACTCGAGCCTATCACCTCTACCTACGTCCAATCAGACGAAGCAGACATGGGCGTTACCTATGCCGAACTCTCAACATTCGGATACCTGCGCAAGATCGCAAAGGCGGGACCCTGGACAATGTACGAAAAGTTGCTGCATCTCTGGGGTAACGAGTATAGCCCCAGGGAGATTTATGAAAAGACTCGGCATTTCTTCTATAACTACGCCATTAACCGACATAAGATGACGGTTCTGACGCCGAGTTATCACGCGGAGCAGTATTCGCCGGAGGATAATAGGCATGATCTGAGACAGTTCTTGTGTGAGTTATATTCTTTCCTGCACAGATATGACGATGAAACTGACAAAGAAAGACCCTTCGTTCACATGGGCATACAAGAAGATGGAAGACAGTGTTAAGTACTGGGAATCTAAGGGTTGGACTGCTGGGAAGGCACAGAAGAAGAGCGTTAAGGAAGACTAGGTTAGTAGCTAGGAAATTTCTTCGATCAAAAATATAGAATAAACACCATACTACTGAGTCTCTGATGACAAAAAGCCTCTCCTACGTTGACGGGAAAGTTCTCATCTACAATATGCTATGATGGACAGTTGAAGTAAAAGCAGCTCAGGTAAATTCATTAAGATTTATTCATTTTCTTCGAGTCTACGTCGTCAACCGCATATATTGTTGTGTAATTAAAAACGCCCCCAACCAAAACCCCCACGCTCAAGAAGCATTAAATCGAATCAAATACGGCACATATTATTAAATCACCGCCAGAACCAGCCCTCGTTAGAGCTATTTTCACCGCCCTGGTCAACGGTGAAGCGTTGCTCGGGCGAGTTAGCAACGTCAACGGACTCGTTGGTCTCTTCGTGTCCGTCTGAGAAACGTTGCGTCCTGACGGTCTTTGTGTGGATGGATCCGTCGGCCATGCGGTTTCGTCTTATGTTTGCATGCGTGGAGACCACAAGGGGTTCAGTTTTGGCTTGGTCTATCGAAATGGGCTGAGAGCTCTCCAGTGCAGGGGTCCTGTTAGTTTCAGCAGTCACGGCATCGAACCCGGTCCCGTTGTCAGCCTCTTCTGGGAGTCTGCGCTGACGTTCAAGAAGCTCATTTTTGCGTCGAGGGTCCCCCAAAAGGAAGCGCAAGGTACGACTTTCATCAAAAATTCTGGAGAACTCGCGCTCACGTCTCTCAAGGCCTTTCAGGAAATGCTCATACAAATCCTGCTCAGTCAGGTCCATATTATCTTTCTTGACATTCTCGGTCTCAGCAGCTCGCTTGGACGAATGAGGGAGCTGGCCTCGCTCGAGCATAGCATATCCATTGTTAGGGTTATCGTCTGCCTGCTGCCACTTCCATCCGTCACCCAGACTACCCCGTTGAATCATTCCTTTCAACCAGTCCATTCCAGTCTCCTTCTTGCTCACTGCATCAATACCAGATCCTCGTTCCAGCATCTGCTGTTTATTCTCCAATCGCACGAGGTCCTCGAACGCCTCGTGCCAGCGGGGTTCGGCGTTATTTTCCACAACACCCCCGCTGCCGTCAGGCCTCAACGACAACACGAGTGAAGAGAAAACGCCGCCCTCACGCTGTCCTCCCAGAGAAGACCCCTCCAGATTCAACGGTGAGTACGGGCTAAATAGCAAGTAGGCCCCGGGCCAAGAAGCAGTATCATCGAACCCTTCATCAAAGGTTGAAAAGAATGGAAGCATGAACCGGGATCCAAACGGGAAAACATCATCAAAATCAGACCGCCAGAAGCCCGGGAACCCGACGAATCCATCCCACCAGCGGTTACAGTAGCGGTACGCATCAAGAGAATTGTCTTGTCTGGACAATGCACCATCTTCCGAGTTACTGTTCTCCCCGGGTCGTTTCGCGCGCGCATTATCATAAGAGTCATCTGCAAAGATACTCCATCGGTTTCGTATGGGTGGAGTGGCCATTGATGGAAGGCCCATGACGGATTGCAGCATGGAGGAGATCTGCTCATCTGCGTAGCGGCGGAATGCAACGAAGGGGTTATCGTCATCCGGCCATTGCCGAGTACTCCGAGGGGAGATATTGTTGTTCGGAGGTATTTGGTTGCGGTTTGTGTCGTTTTCGGATACCATTGTGCAGTGCTGTGTCTTCGGCGATTAGAGAAGAAATTTTCGTCTTGTTTTAAAGAAGTTTCTTCTTCAATTGAATGTTGAGGAATGATCTTATTGAAGCTGTTGGGATGCCCCACTCGGCTATCACCACGTGATGCTGATCTCATATAGTGCAAACTCTGCAAAAACTGGCTCATGACGCCTTCATTAGCAGTGCTATATTGACTTTTGAGATCAGACAGATGTTGTCAGAAACTGAGATATATGCCAAAATGGCATTGGTAGTGGAGTATCTCAATTGCTACTTAGGGCATCAGATGAACAAGATCGGAGTATCGGAGTATTAGAGTACAGCTCTTCATTGCACAAGCAATGGCCTAAAGTCTCGCCCTATCGTCAAACTGCTCCCAAGCCTCATCGAAGCCTGTCGACCGAACCCACATGGTCGTTTCCCCCTTGCCCTTGACCGAATCGCTAACTACAACCGGTCAGCACCAATCCCACGAGTTATAACAGGGAAGTGGGGAGTGTAACTTACCCATATTCCCAATTTTCAACCAACTATCCCCTGTAATCTTAAGTCCCCGTTCCTTTTCCTGTCCCTCATATGGCCGACAGATACTCTCCGCATTCCTGAGTGCCCGCACTAGCTTAGACAAATGCCCATCATCGTGGGGATGGCGGTTGCTCTGGGTGATGATGGTGTCCCAGTCACTCTTGATTGGGTATCTTGTGATCTCATCGAGGTAGAGCTCGGGTGCGTTGCGGGAAATGTACATTAAGAGATCCATGCGTCCTTTCCATTCAAGGAGGCGGAGCTTGGTGTGTGTGTCTAGGAAGGGCAGGGCGAGGATTTTGGAGTAGAAGATGGACGAGTTGACGGTGTGGATGTAGAAAAAGTCGAATTTAACTTCTTTGGATGGGCGTTGGCAGGCGCTGCTAAAGTATACTGCGTTGCAAATATCATTAGCACCTATCCAAAAAGCTGACCGCGGGATTTCAATTGCTTACCAGACACATCAACCATCTCGGCAAACTTGTCCTGGATCTGCTCCTCGGAGACCGTATATTGAGAAGCATATTTGAGCATCTCCTCCGGTGCCCGTTTGAGCACCCCGTCACGGAGTTTGTTTCCGTCTTCCCAAAGAACCGAGCTCGCTAGCTTCTTATCCGCGCGCGCCTCTTCCAAGAGCTGCAGCATGGTCTTCGTTCCTTGCTTACCAATCCCACCTGCAGCTTCCTCTGATGGCCAGAGGAACCGCGAACCGGTCCAATCTTCGTGGATTGCTGTCTGCGCGAGCGCTTCAGCAATGATAGCCGGCTGGTTGAATTCAATTGCGAAACCGAGGTGAATAATTGGGTGCAGAAGTCCTGTTTGCGTTAACATCCGTTAGCCTCCTTGCCTCCTTACGTATCATTGGGAATAAAAGTAGTATACCTCCAAACAACCTCGCCAACATACTCTCCGCATTCTCATCCCCAGAAAACACATATTCACTCAGGACCTTCTCAACACCCTTCTGTCCAATCTCGCGCTGGAAGAATTTCAGAAAATTCGGATAATTTTTCTGCTTCCCAAGGCAGTCCTTGAACTTAGCCTTGTCATGAAGCGACTGCACAACGCTCTCGTCCACGGGGAGTGTAGGTCGTTGGTAGACCTTGTTTCTGTCGTAGGCAGCTTTTATCTCACTTGGCGATGCACCGAGGGCGTAAAGTGTTAGGATGTGATGAACGATGTGGTCTGGTTTGTCTCATTAATATTGTCCTTATTAGCTTGTATTGGTTGACTTACTGTGGAACCCCATGTCATTGAAATAAACATGATGCTTCTCCAAGTCCTCCTGAAGGACCTCGCTTGCTATTTTGGCTGAGTCCTCTGTCACACCTGTACTCCAAACTCCAGTGTCGGTCTGGGGAGATAATTGGATCTTCTTTGCGGTAGCCATGTTCGATGATATGTCGAAGGATTGAGCAGTAGTAATGGTACTCATAGAAACGAAATGAACTCCCGGCACTGTATTCCTCAGATTGCAAAAGGACAATGCCGTCCTAGATCGTGCAGGACGAGGGATTTTAGCAGTCGAGAACCGAGATAACCGTGGAATTGGGACTCGTTGACCGCGAGCAACAGCAGACGTTATTACTCTTGTAGTTGTTGATGATAGACGCATCTGCTTTATTTTTAGGCACTGGCAATGGTAATGGCAATGAGGGAAATATATACTCATTGATCAGCTATATTACTTCCTGTACAACTAACCAAAGTGTGTAGCAATCGGTCCATTGGAGTGTCCAGGATTACCAATACGTCACTTCTGCAGACCCTGGATCTCCGCCTTGTCGGGGTTCGGAGCTTTCGGAATCCGGGGTGATCGCATCTGGACATCACATATTATAAATTTAGAATTGAAGATGCAAAGTAACTGTTTTGATTTGTCTGCAATCTGGTATGTAATCCCCCCGAAAAAAGGCAATGCTTCTTATGTTCCTTTGTATATTTGAACTCCCCCTGACCTCCGAATGCAATTGTATAAAACATGCAAGAAATTACAATGGCCTGGTAATTGACCAAAAAGAAAAATAAACAATTAACGATTCATATCGGCCATGCCCTGTTTTCTCTTTTGGCGTTCTCGCTCCCACTTTCGGAATAGCGGATGACTCGTCTTGTCCTTGAGTTGCTTGTTGCGACTCTTGTTGTACTCGACATACGCCATGTCTTCCCCACCAGCCAATCCACTGAGCGTTGCTGCGCTGCGCTTGACACCCTTCTTCGCGGCACCCTTGGCTCCGCCCGAGCGCGCAGCGAAGAGGTCGTCCGTCACATTTTCGACTTCCGCAGATGATTCATTCTGCAGCATGACTTCTTGTAGCAGTTCCCGACGTTCTGCGGGCGTGGCGTAGGCGAGTCCATTCAGGTTTTCAATGCCTTGCAGGTGAGTAATAACCTTGAAGGCGTAGCCTTGGTCGACCAAGAAGGCCTGTCTCTTAGACGAGTAGAACATCTCGTCCGTGTCCTTGGAAACGAGAGAGTAGAAGAATGCGTTGAAGCCTTCGTCATTACGACGCTTGGCTCGTAGAATACGTCCAAGGCGCTGGGCTTCCTGACGACGCGAACCATAGTGAGAGGAAATTTGAATCAAGCAGGTAGCTTCCGGTAGATCCAGAGAGGTATCTCCAATCTTGGAAAGGAAAATGGTGTTGACCTGTTCGTTGTGCTGGAAGTTCTCCAGAATCCGCAGACGCTCGTTCTGCGGTGTACCACCATAAATATAGGCTTTGTTTAGCTTGAGCGCATACCGCTCCAAAGCGTAGACGTTGTCTGAGAACACAATAACCTTGTCCCCGCGCTTTTCGTGATAGTCAATCAAGAACTGGCACGCCTGGAACTTGCGAGGGTTCATAATGTAGAGTAAGGCAGCCTTTCGGGACTTCTCCCGCATGTACTCAGAGTAAAACTCTGTTGTCATAGGGCACCACACCTCAGCACATTGAACTTTGGCAATGTGTCCTTGCTCTGCGAGTTCCATCCAGTTAGCTTCATATAGCTTCGGTCCAATCAAGAAGTTCAGATCCTTGATCTTGTCATCCTCACGCAGCAACGTGGCAGTCAAACCAAGTTTGCTCTGCGTCGCAATAGCCGACGTGACTTTTCGGAACATGGATGCCGGCACGACGTGGACCTCATCAAGAATCATGAGACCCCATTCCCGCGACTGGATCCAGTCCATCATTTTCTGTGCATCATACGACCGAGCCCGGGTTTGAGAGACCATCGAGTATGTAGAGACAATGATACCGGTAGACCGACGGAATTTCTCTTTGTTGTCAGATGTGAACACGGCAATATCGCCGGGGTCAATGTTCGACCAGCGCAAAAATTCATTTCTCCATTGCACCACAGACATGGAACTAGTACAGAGGATAATTGTCCCCTTCTTAATAGTGCAACCAGCCGTAATTCCCACCAGCGTTTTACCAGCGCCGCACGGCAACACAATAATACCACTCTTAGCACGACCATTACCGAACATCTTACTCAAGCTCTTCTCCTGGTAGTTTCGGATCCGTGCGTTGGGTTTCAAGTCAATATCGAGATTGGGATTGATCTCATCATTTCGGAAATCATATTCCTCCAACGCAGGACACCCCATGGCCTGACAACGCGCTTTGACCGGTTCCACCGCTTCATTAGGGATTTCAAAACTATGGACCTGGGCCTGCTCTTCGTCATCATCGTCATCGCGAATGGCGAGAAGGAGGTCGTCCTCTTGACGACCCGTAGGTGCCGCTCCACTGCCTTCCGCCGGCTTCTCCTGCTGCGTCTGCTGTACACCTGCGGCATCTTTCGTACCGGGAATCACAAGGCCACCCATTTTCGGAGCCGCCTGCTGAATGATTCCCTCTGTTCCTTGTAACCTCTGCGGTCCAATAACCTCATCCTGTAGCAGCATTTGTAGCATGGCCGGGTCCGTACTTTCCACGAAGAAACGGTTGTGTTTCAAAACCACCTTAATCTTTCCGTAAGACTTTGTGAAATCGATAATAAATGATTTAATCGTATCCGGGAGCGGTGTCTTCGAGAGCCGATCCAAAAAGTTGATAATATCGGTCGGCTGCAGACCAACGGAGACCGCCGCATACAAACTGTTGCCGGTCAAACGATATTCGTGAAGATGGGTTGGCCGCGACAGCGGTTCGGAGATGGTCGTCAAAAAGTCTTGTGCCTGGGGTGCTAACGGAGAGAAACTCTCCAGGGTAATAGTACCCTTCAAAGGATCGATCCAAAGGGGGCGGTTCGCATGGTCCGGCTTCAGTGAAAGCGTCGAAAAATCTTTGTATCCGAAATTCGGGTCTTCGTGCGGTTGGCCTTTCTTGGTGCTAAACGACTCGAGATCGAACTTGCTGACGACATCTGTTCATTCCAAGCAAAATCAAGTCAGCAACTGACTTGAGATGTTAACAGCGCTGCTCTATGCACTTTTCAAGTTGTCCTCCCTGACATCCTCTTCATAGTCGGAGTAATCATCATCGCTATCGATATCCTGACCATCCGCCACAGGAGTCTGACGTTTCGACGGCCTCGACCGGCCGCCTAGTTAAATGTCAGCTCGTCGTCTATCTATTAACGAGCAACAAAGGCCATACTCTCAGTCGCCTTGCGTTTCGGAGGCATTCTATATGAGTAGATTGCGCTATGACTGGCTTTCGAGGTAAGGTATGTCGTCTTCAAAGTCCGATAAGACGAGGCTCACCAGGCTGCCGGCGCCTGTAAAGCAATGCCGGTGAATCAGGCACGCCTCGACAGCCTAGACGCACTAACCAGCTTATTGCAGGAAATTTTAAAAGCTAATCGCAAGGGCAGATGCAAACGGAACGACAGTGGAAAAGGTTGGTCAATGAGTCGAAAAGAGATCGGCCGGCCGAGGAAGACGGCAGGGTCATTTGCGCCTGGGGCACTAAGGCTACAACACCACTGAGTCCCTAGCCTCTGATTGGTCTAATTCTGCGACAGTGGCGGCTGACGTAGTGCGGAACAATTGATGGCCTTTTGCTATTTCGACAACTCCTACACACTTGAACGAGGAACTCACTAAGCAACATGAATACGGTATGTTAACCAATTGTTTTACAAGTTATGGCAGCTGGCTAACATCTCTGTTCCTGTCCAGATTCGATCGACCTGGTGAGAAAAGATTGCCCGAAACAAGCCACGGAATCGTATGATCTCCGACAAGACTGACAATTGCTGACCGGAGCGCGATGATTGCATGCCAACAGGATTGGCTGGGGCACGCTCACAGTTGGTGCGTACTTCTGAAATGCGAGCAATGAAGATGGACTTTGCAATTAACATTTAAACCTCACAGCCGGCGGCGGCGCCTACTACTTCGCGAAAAAATCCATCAACGCCGATCGCGCGAACCGATATGAAGCGGAAGTGAAGAAGAAGGCCCAAATGGCAGCCCTCGAGAACGAGCACCGACGTCAGGGAACGCTGCACCAGTCGAGACCTAATGCGACGGATGATTTATCGCCAAGTTCACAGGCTAGTCATGACCCTGCAGCCACGCGCCATGAACCCGAGACGGAGGCAGAACGAGTGCTGGAAAAGAGCAAATATGAGACCGCACAACCTTTCCGGCCTCCTAAGGGCAATCGATTTAGCTGATGCGGTAACTTGCGGGGTGGTTACAGTTTAAACAGTCGATCATATGTGCTTTATATGCTTGGCGCCATGATAGACCATGACATGATGAAAATGCGAGAGCGCTGCGATTCTTCTGTACAATGGACAAAAATGCTATTAAATAAGTCTCTTCGTGTCATTCATCATAATAAGTATAGTATCTGTTTCTCGATAGCCCTAACAATCTGAACAACGCCGCTGGTCATTACCATGCCACCACGGATCGTTGAAAGGGTTGGGTTTGAAGACTGGGTATAATATGAGCTCATTGTCAAGCAGCCAAGAAAAAGAAAAGCCATATGCACCCCCGGTATGATAAAAGCAGTCCCCACCGATCACCAAACTCCGTAAACACCGTTCCGTATTATGTATTTGTATGATGCATGCTAATCTCGCATTCAGGTAGAAAACCCGTATCTCTGTAGTAGAACGCTCGACTTGTTTTTAATTATTTAGCGAGAATGGAAGCAGAGCGGTGGGTTCGGTCTATAGAGTAATAGAACGTTAGCAACATTGCCGAGTATAACTATTACTCAACTCACTTGTTGTGGTTAGGGTAACCCATACTCTTTTCACGAGAGCTCTCCAGAGCAGGAGGCACAAATGGCAGCACGACGGCTGAAATCAGACAGGATCTGGTTATGAAGAGGGAAGTCCGCGTGGCTTGCTGAGGACGGTGGACAGAGATGTTGCGCACTGTAGGACGGAGGAGTTGAACGGCCATGATGGTGGTGTGCTCGTTGGTGGTTTGTATTTTTGGTAACTGGTGGTAATGTGAAAGTAGTATGCAGAGTATGAATGAATATATGGATCACTCTGGGTGGCCAACCTGGCCTTTATATGAATACTCGTGGACTCGGCCAGTACGTATACATCGGATCGCGCGATCATACAACAACCGCTGCCGTGACCCGCGTGGAGAATTGCGGGGTGGTGGGTCATACACCGCCTGCCCAATTTATGCGTCTAGTAATGGCGTACTGTTCCATACCGTACCATACCACTTTGTACTGTTCCTGCTGACAGTGTTGTCCTTTCTAGCACTAGTGTTTAAAGGTATCTCCTGGTTATTTTGGAGTGATTACCGGTGCCTATCTTTCAATCACCCTATATTTTGGTCTGTCCAGACCATGGATGAACCCCGGATAAGCTCAGGAGTCTCAATTCCGAATGCTCTGATGGCGGGAAACATTTACCCGGCTAAGATGCGCAAGGCAGGCTGACGATGATGCGATCATACCACTCAACTAGGAGGACCCCTTTCGGTATATATAGAACTGCGGCATTGATTCGTAGACACTACAACGCCAGATGCACATCATTTGCTCATGCGCTCCGGATGGCGCGCCCTGGTGATATGATCGCCTCAGGCATGAATTTTCCTCATTGGGTGGACGCCCAACTAGAGCGCCAACCGCCAAAATTCTAGTTTAGATAGATCTTCACCATGTCATTTTCAAATTCCCCTCACTAGAGGCTCTATGTGAGTGGAAAGGATCTTATGACTTTTTCGTAGTATGACATTCATGTATCCTAAGACATAAAAAGCTGAAGGCGGTAGGTCACGTGTATAGGCGGAAAGGTTATCACTCTTGATCTTGTCGGGTACAACACTTCCAGACCACAATTTCACACGCCACAATGGCGTCCCATCAGCTGGCTATCGCAAAAGCCTCCTTTTCAGCCGGACTACTACGTCCCGATCCCACCTCCGTCTCGCGCGACGAAATCACAGCCTTCCATTCCGCGCTCGACCAAGCGCTTTCGCATTGTTCCTATACCAACATCCAGGTTTGATTGGAGTCCTTCCTCTTTTGTTTTCCTGCCTTGTCGAGTACCGCTGGAATACTAAATTCTTGGCCTTTCTCTTATTCTTTGCCTTGTGTGTGGTAGAATTGCAAATCATGGCTTCTCAACTACGTCGTTTCGTCTTCCAATCGCGTCGGGGTTTGGGCCAAGTACCTGGTCGCTTTATCCGGCTCGCTCGCTACCGATTACGGCAAGCCGTCCAAAACCTCAGAGAAGAGGAAGAGATTACACATTCTCTATCTCCTCAACGACCTCTTCCACCATACCAAATACCATCTAGAGTCGACGGCGGCTTTTTCGACCTTGACCGGCTCCTGTCAACCCTATATCGTTGACCTGTTGGGTTACGCTGCGTCGTACAATCGGGAGAAGAACCCTAAACACCACCGACGGCTCGATGATCTTCTGGATATCTGGGCGGAGAATGGATATTACGGTGCAGACTATGTCAGCAAGCTGCGGGAGGTGGTGAAGAACTCGGCCGTGTCTGGTCCAGTGAAGACGTCCATTGGCGTGGAGAATAACAATACCGACACAGCGAACCAGAAACAGGTCTCTGGAAAAGAGGTACCATTCGTCATGCCGTCGACGCATGGCGATCCTACCACTCCTTACTATGACCTACCGGCCGGCAACTTGGTTCCGCACATTATACCGAACTCAACAATCCCACTCCGACCCGAGTCGATTAAACCACTTCAATTCCTGGCAGGTCCTGCAGACGAGAAATTGGTGTCAGCACTCAAGGTGTTCATGAAGGATGTAAATCAGATATACGAGTTAGAGAAACCAGAACCCAAGAACGACGACGAAGTGGTCGACATTGACGAGCTGGGACAAACGGTGATTCGAGATGCGACGACTGGCGAGATAATAACTGGTGAAACGTACTACGGCTGGTCACGCTCGTTCTGTGAGCAAATGAAGAAGAGGAATATCAATAACACAAGATACTCCCGAAGTCGAAGTCGGAGTTGGAGTCGGAGTGTCAGCCGCAGTGTCAGTCGCAGCCAGACTCCTCCGAGGCGGAGACGCTACAGTGACAGCCCAGGAAGCGAAGATGGTCGACGGCGGCGACAATCCCCCAGATCCGAGAGTCGGTCGCCCGTTGGTCGACGAGGCGGGCCTGGCAACCGACGGTCAGATTCGCGGTCAGCAAGCCCTCCAACAAGACGCCAATCTTCACGCGAGAGATCCTACTCTCCTCCACCATCCACTGGTCCTCGATCATCATTCCCTCCGCCATTCAAACGCAAGCCGTTTCCCAATGTAGCCCCTCCATCAGCAGCAGCAGCAGCTCCTCCGCCGCCGCCGATGCACCAGAATGGTTTCCCACCAAGCCAATTCCCAGTCACAGGAATGCCACTTCCGACTCCTCCGCCAAATTATCAAGGCGCATGGCCTCCGCCTCCGCCGATGCCAGGAATGCCGGGGATGATGCCGAATTCTGCTGCTTTTCCGTCGCCGTTCCCATTGCAAGGGGGTGGTCATTTTCCTCCTATTCATATGGGAGGCGGAGCGCCTAGTGCTCCGGTGTCGCTACCGCCGGGTTCGTATCATTTTCCGCCGCCGCACTCAGGGTCGGGTTCGAATCCGGGGTATCCGAATCAGCAGGGATGGGGACAACAGGGTGGTGGTAATCGCGGTGGACGTGGATGGCGGTGATGCATATCTACATATCTTAACTGCGCGGCTGCGGTATAACACGAATCGGAAGATTTATCTGCAAAACCCGTGATATCCAGTCATAATGTCCGTGTGCGTAGTGTGATGTTTCAAGGTGTCTCACCAAGGCCAACACACAGTTTGTACATCCAAATCAATGGTCTTTGGGACAAATATGATACCCATCAGTCAGTAAAATTCTAGTGTGCTTTCAATCTAACCCCTGGTGGTCAATATATAATGAGACCTAGTTTCATAAATATATCATATCAAAAGTCCTGCTGTCGTAGCAAAGCCCACTATATATACTACGCCCATCACATGAATGACCCACGGATATACCCATATCCAAACGATCAAACCACCCTATAAAACGGTAGCCAGTTAGCTGTCATTATTGTTAGTTCCAAACGATATCACTCACGCGTGGCAATTTACAATGGCCCATACCCATGCTCATTTTTCATGCGCTAGTGCTATAGCGCGAACTTATGGGGTATAATATAAGATTTTTGGTATATCTTACACATTGAACAATTTACTACGACATGCAATTGGAACAACTGGAAGGGAAAAAAAATTGACTGCTTCATCAGTTTCTAACCAGAAGCAGCCAATAATGATAAAATTGGGTATGTTAAGGGAGTGACAGAAGCAAAAGTGGAAAGGGAAACAGGGCAGGGAATATTGCATGGGCAGGGATATATATATATATATATATTTTCGATTTTTCCTTGACCGGAAGAAAAAAGACAAGGGACAGGGTGATGGGGGAAATATGATGACTCGAGCGAATCGCATCATCATAACGGAATGGCTATGGGGGTAGGAAGCAATTACTATTGATGCGCCCTGAGGACAGAGACAAGAGTCGACAGTAGAATTGTCCACACCAGAAAATGCATCAATAAAATTGGCTGTCGCTAAAAAAAGGAATCAAGCACGCTTTCGTAACCATGTCGATGATGATCAAACGAACCCATTCGTTTGCTCGGGCTTTCGATTCAGCATCACCCAGTCCGCCCCAGACTAGAACTGCAGACGATCCACGGCCTCACTCTGCGAATTTGAAACGGCTGTGTCCCCACTGAGCGAGCGACTTGCGTCACTGCTACGGCTGCTGGTGTTGCTCGTGTTGCTGCTGCCGCCGGGGGAACCGCGACCATCATCCATGTCACAGAAAGTAGACATCCGGCGTTGGGTGTACTGCAGCATGACACGGTTGTAGTCGTTGACGGAGGTGCGAGGGTCGAGAGGCCGTTGGGTTTGTGTTGGGCCTTTGCTGGCGGTTGTTGAGTCTAGATCAGAACCCGGAGGTCGGCCGTTTTCGTTGAGCATGGTTTGCTGATGAATGGTTTCGGGAACGACGGGAGTGGATGAAGCTGCCATCGTTTGAAATGGATGGAATGTGAGTGTACTGGGGGGAGAAGCGTCAGTTTGCGCATCACATTTGTCAAGTTCAATGAGGCCACGGACTCGAGAAGGTTGAAGATATTAGATTAGATACCGATTCGAATAAGCAGTGGAATAAAGCGGATACGGATTAAAGCGTGGGTATTCGCACACCGATTTATTCGGGGAGGACAGATAATCGAGCCGCGCACGGAGGATTGGAGACGGGACTGGACTGGAGAAGACGGGAAGGGGTTCACAGAGGGAAGTGGAGAGTGACAGGGGACAGAGGACAGATTGGATATAGAATGCAGGAGAGAAATCGTAGGAACACGCTCGGAGCAGTAGCGGGTATAAATCATGAACAGAAGGAAAGGAGAGAAGGGGAAACCTATAGGGTTGGTGCTTTTACGTCGTTTGTGGTCCACTGGGTCCAGAATTTGAGATCGATCAATCAGTATGGAGGACAGTCAATCTGCCGTGGGGAAATACAGAAGCGAAAAGAGCGTCGACGAGGCTGGCTGGTGGTTGGTCAAAAGCTGAGAGTGGATAATAGAATTGGTTATAGGGAGTGAGGTTTGTAGGAACTGTATGATGTCATTGCTATGATTGGATTTTTCAGACAGTTAAAACACATATACTACTATACACGAGAGAGAAGAGAAACAGAAAAACAATTTCTTGGCTGTCTAATTATTTCTTCATATGTTCATATACAATACCTATCTACATAGATGAATGGAATGGTTGCATCGAGAATGACATCATATATTCCTCAGGCATTCAGGCACGTAGTTTGTTATGACCTCATCTCCCAAAAGGGAAAATTGTATTCTCCACTCCCAGCAAAATTATATCAAAGTCCGTATGAACACTTGCTTTACAAAAGAAAATATCACGGCACCTGAACCTAGATGGTTGCAAAGCGCACCCACAAACCGACACATTGGGGCCCCGTACTTAACCAAATATGGACCACCGAAGGAATGACACAAGGCTTCAGATCGGCAACACAGTAGTGGATCACAGGGAAAAGAAAAGGGCATACTATGCCAGAAGGTTTACTCCGTAGACACAGTTCCCACATCCCTGTCTTTGGTTTGTATGTTCTCCATCGTCAGACATCATGGTCTGATCGTTTACCAGATCGGGATCATGGTCAAGAAATATAGGACCCTTTATTTGCCACGGACGAGTTTATTCTCATAGAGTGATGATTGAACAGCAAGGCTGTTACTGAATCAAGTAGTACAGCTATATCATTGTGCCAGTAAGATAGATCAGTTGCTCGGGATACCTTCTGCGAAAATGACTTCATGGGGTGGATCTTCTATACCGGAGATTAAAGTCTGCGAACAGACATGATATCAATTCTTCCTCTGCCCCTCATGCAGAGCAAAGGACCTAGAATGTACGAGTAGGAAATCTTTTCCGTTTGATCTGGTTGATCCGGGTCAATGGGTCATCGTTTTATTGTGTCCAGTCTCCGAGCATGCCTTTAGGAGCCCGATGGACTCCAAGATATCGGCATTTGTCTGAAATAGCAGATAGTAGAACAATGTTTCATAGTGAAAAGCAGGCTTATCATAAGCACCCGTTAATCATTTCCATGTCAAGATCCATTGGCTCTCGGTAAGGTATCTCGATGTGAATGTGGATAAACCACGGTGGATTAGGGCCCTACCGGCAATAATAATGAATGGATAAAACATCACTGCTGCAGCCACCCGAGTTCTACGCTCTATGGCATCCTAACACGTATCATCGCGTCTTGCTCCGAGATTGACATTCAAGTCGAGTCTAAGACTACAGAATCCTCCGTAATGTGCAAAATAGTCTAGACCACTGTATGCATTGCACCGGGATCAACCTTTTTCCTCACGCTCTGCAGGAAGGAACTAGCGAATTCATTTCCCACGACGGTAATGATAGCCTTGTGTTTGCCACATGAGGTAGGACAAAGTGTTCGGAATACTCCTGAGTACCCCGAACAGCATGTCCGGTGTCCAGTGCCCTATGTCAGTGTGCATTATTAGCGTCCATATCTTTTAAACGAAGGGTTCCATGACGTTGGAGCAGTGGGGGTTTCAGCTCAAGGTCTATCTCATCATGTGTACATCCGCACTCGAGCATAGCACGGTGTATGCTATTTTAGATTATTGTTTGTGATCTTATGTTGTCAGCAATGCGGTCAGACAATTTTGTTTGTCTCCTGGACCTAGAACTTTGTATTCATACTCTGTATAAGACAGTGGTAAAAAGATGGATATGATATCATTTTCCAATTCTCCAAGGACTTACTTTCACACGTGACAGGTTACACCCTGCTTTTCTTTCTTTCTTTCTTTTTTTTTTTTTTTACACACTGCTAAGTGCTAGTTATGTCATTTAATGATGCAATATTTTGATTAAAACAGATGAATGTGTTAGCTCTTGTAAAAAGAATAGATACAACAAGTGACGGTACCCGCCACAGATTTGAATCAAACATTGGCGTTATTATCATCAAACGTAACCTGTACACGAATTTCCAGTCAGTCAAACTAGTCTTCACTGGGAAACCGAAGTCAGGAAAGAAACGTCATGTCCCCTTCCACCTAGACCGGGTATTCTTCCAACAAAATGCCGATAACACGTACCTTTTCTAGCCCCCTGGAAGAAAAACCTCACCACAAACACCTGCAATCCAGCCATAGACACCATCATCAACCCCTCAACGACACTAAAATTGAAAATCCGGCGCTCCGTGCTACGCACGGTACTGAAGTTGCGGTTCTCGCGGGTCCGGAAGTACTTTTGGTTCCGCGAGATGGTCGACAATTGCGCGGAAAGCTTGAAAATCGACTCTTCGAGAGCAGATGCCTGTTCGGGGCTAGTGCTACCTTGTCGGGAGGGAAGTTGAGCGCGTTCTTCGTTCTCAACCTAATTGTAATGACAACATGTCAGCGGCACCACGCGACGCAAGGAGACCGCGAATGAATTCATAGTGGGGAAGTGAAAACAAGTTTTATATGCGGAATCACGTATGGCAATATAGAGGAAAGAAAAGAGGCGAGAAGGAAAGGTCGGACACAACATACCGCAATCTCAAAGTCCACCATCTTCTCCGCAAACGTAGACATCTCATTGTTGAAGCAGAACCGGTACTCCCCGACGCTCTGCGCCGTAAACACAAAGTCTCCCTGTCGCTCCTTGGTGCCATCCAAAACGACCTTTTCGCCAGGGGCGATTACTGAGTAGTCGACATCGAAGGAACCGCCGGATTGGACCTATAGAAAAAACCTCTCCATTAATTGGTTATCCTTTTACGACAGAAGCCAGTAAATCTCGAATAGAGCGTATGCATACCGCAAAGTAAAAGGCGACCTTCGAATTCGCGTGGTCGACATAGGAGTGGAAGCAGGCCTTCTCGTTGGCCTCGAGTTTGTAGGTCAGCGCGGTGGCCGTCACATTCGACACGAAGGCGGCCAGGAAGCCAATGACCAATATCGTAAGACGCATCGTGGGCGGGAATAGGTAGAAGAGGCTGGGATTCAACCGGGACAGCTCTCCTTCGAACAGGGGCGAATTGATCGGGATCGGAGGTTGAGGTGATAGTTGTTCTGGACAACTGTGTGTTGGTGTTTCCGCGCTGTTTGCTTTGTTTGCATCTCCACTCTCCACTATATATTACTCCAGTTCTCCTTGTGTACAGGGTTCCGATATCAAGTGTAAAAAAACAATCTTCTTGCCCGAATAAATACGTTTTAAATATCGCATCTAGAAAACAATCAAAGACTACTGACCATGGTAACATTACTGAAGTCCATTAGACGGAACTCCAGTCAAAGAAATAACTATAAACTGTTTGCCTCATGTTATATTCTGCTTCAAAATATTTCATCATGTCCCATGTGCCGCACATAGAGAATAAAGCATCGCACTAGCTCCTGGAAGCATAGATCTCAAACCTGTCATTGACGATATCTCTTTCTTCTATGGCAACTGTTGCCGTGTCAATGCAGGAAAATCTTTATCGGATGAAGAAAGACTCGCTACGGTTCCAGAAGCTCCGATTTTTGTTTAGGTGGTCAAGACCGAGGAGGTCATCGCTCTCACCAATCACGTCCGAAAGGATGTCATCTGTTGGAAGCAAGAGTTAACATCATTCCCGTAAGATAGCAACAATAACAAGGAAATAACTTACCATCATCGAGATACCGCGGACTGGAAGAATATAAGGTCCGAGCGACAACGGCAAACTTGATCTTTTCAAAGTTCTTGCCTTTAATGCCGGTTCGCTTGGAAAGCCTCTCCTTCGTTTCCTTGAAAATCTCGCCCTGTTGGATATTATTAGTGAATCTACTGGAAAATCGAGAAGTATAGTCGCTGCACTTACAGGCTTCATAACGAACTTGAACGGCACACCATGCGGCCGGTTTGGCTCCCGGTCAAAGTTGAACGCACTGACCATACGTTCTCCTTGCTCCAAGTTGAGTTCTTCATCAGGGATCTTCTCAGCGTACAAGGGAACAAAATCGTTGACACCGGAGATCTTGCTGTCTTGCGGATGTTCTCTGTGGACTTTGCCACTATGTGCTTCGAAGACTCTCAAGTATTTGATCGCATCTTCCTCGAGGTTCAGTTTCTTCTGCAACCCAACCTGAAGGTCCAGCAGAGTTCCGTCCCGAGGGACAAGTACTTCAACCACTTGCTATTGCCCAGTCAGCACGACCTTGTTATTTTCGCTGACAATAAGGCAGAATGACTCACCTCTTTGGTAATACCCTCGGGAAGCCAGGTCACCTTCAAGCACTTTTTGCTCTCGTAGTCGCTCAAGCTCATCTCCAAGACTTCGAAATACAACGCATCCGTACGGTGCAGGCTGTATCCATATCCACCGTTCATTTGTGGATTGAGAATTGAGTCTAGGTTTTGAGCGGTCTGATTAGGGTTGCGCCTGATAAATGGTTTTGGTTTGCCGGTGCTTGCGAGAACTGGTGCAAAGCGCAAGTGTGTCGAGTCCACACCAAGGTGTTCACCGGCCTTCTTCGAGAACTGATCATATGTCATCTTTTTGTTAAGTGTTAGTGTGAATTCGTCGCCCTCTCCCACCCTGATGGGAGCAAAAAACACATCTATTTTGTTCAGCAAGTAGTCGTAGTACTGCCTTGCGTCCTGGTACAATGCGGTAGGAGGCAGCTCAGACTCTTTGATTGTCCGCTGGAAAGCAATAACATCACCGTCCTGTATCTCGGACTGTTGGAAAGTTTGCTTGGGCTTCATAACGTCAATCATGGAGGGTTTAATCTCCTCGAACAGCATGAACTCCGTGCCAGCGGGCCAACTCATTTTCTCGAGAATATATGGTGCCAGCTCAGAGACCTTCTGATTCTTGCGGACGTAGACGGCGCCGACACCAACCATGTCTTGTGCTATGACATCAAAATGCTTCAGGAAAATGAGCACGGAATTTGCGCTGTCCGGCCAATCAACTGTTCCATCGGTAGACGGTTGACCAACTTCCATCCAGACTCTAAATGTGTTTCCTTTCGAGCCGAATCTGGCCTGCGCTTCCTCGAGAGTCATCTCAGGATCCCTGATGGCCTGGTCCGGACGAGTAGTTTTGTTTTGACGGTTCACCATTGCCCAGAATCGGATCTGGCTCGCCTTGACACCCTTTCCTTGTGCGAGCTGTTCCGCAAACTCGCTGACTTTTTTAGCCTTGAGGACTCGGTGTTGTTCTGGCAGCGCAGGATCGTCGGTTGGCAAGTCAAGGCTTGTCAGATTGAATCCATGATGTGATTTGAAAGTCTCTTCTGACAAGACGTCGACGTTGAGATACAGATGAGCTTCTTCCCTTTCCTTCTTTCTCCGCTGGAATTCGGCGCGTTCCTCAACCAAGCGTGTCTCTGTGACAAGATTAGCGATATCAAATACCAAGGAGGTAAGATTGCGGCATACCAATGTGGTCAGGGACATCATCTTTGGTAATGGGAAGGAGGACATCATCCAATCTCGTCTTCCGAATATAGACCAACATATATGCATTCATTGACCGCTTGGTAGACAGTGTACGGGTGTGTGGCTGTCTAACTCCGGTAGCGCCATTGGACAGCTCGTATTCACCACCATAGTTCTCGTCGAGGACTTCCTTCTCGGTAGCCCGAATGACTCGGTCATCATCAAATCGATACCAATGCCCGTCCTTCGTAGGCTTCAAATATGCGTAATAATGGCCGGCATTCAAGTCGCCACTGTGTACCAGCACGCCATGTAATTGATAGATCCAGGATTCAGACTTATCAGCATCCTCAGACAGATAAGGCGTAGCATCGAATTCCATCGGGAAGGCGTGTCTGTCATTCAACTTCATCATAGCATCGCGGTTGATATCGTATTCAAATCGCTTCAAATGTAGGTGCAAAATGGGTGGGAAGCTCTCGAAAATGACACCCTTCTTGGCATCCTGGAGTCCATAAGGCGATCCAGCATCGTATTTGTTTTCACCTTCAAGTGTTTCCACCTGGATGTAGTCTCGGAAACTGTCGTCAAGGGTCTTGTTGCCTCGCACGTTGAGCTGGATATCCCAGAAATCTTCCACGCGAGAGGATTCGTAGTCGACATTGATGCAGGAAATGTACGTTTTCGTTTTACCGACAAACATGTCGGGGAGTGCCTTTTCAGCCGGAGTACCCTTCATCTTTTCCTCCAACCTCTCCATAAGCTTTCTCGACAATTCTTGGACATCCTGTTGTTCGAATATCTGTCTTGATTCCCAGCCGAAAGAGGCCGTAAGTTCAGTGGTCGAGACGGAGTTGTCGCTTGTTTGTAAACTGTAGAAGAGTCTCTGAAGCGTCCAGGCACTGTTGGCTCTGGAGGACTCGGTCTCAGTCGGGATTTGGTAGACAGCCTAAGCCTGTGAGTATGCAGATAAGGAAGCTGCGATGAGAGCGTACGCACCTTTCTGAACATGTTGGTGAAGTACAATGATTGTAGGAGTGAATTAAGATAGCAGGTTGCACCTTGGTTCTTCAGACCGACCATTCCGGTCTCCTTTTTAGAATCGTAGCTATTTAACAGAGGTTAGCCGTCAAGCAGCAATTGAAAGTGTTACTTCAATGCTTACTTCTGGAAACTGTGCCACAAGACTCCAGTCGGGTCCTTGACAACACGGACGTAGGCTGTGATCTTTGCCTCGTCATTCTGCACAAGCGGCACGTCTCGTCCCTCCCAGGGGACACCGAACAGCCTCCGCAATTCACAGAATCTGGTGAAACCCCAGTCTCCCTCATCTGCGTTAAATCTATGCGTCGCAACTGGAGTTCATGTGAGCAAAGCGGCAACTCTTCAACGGAGCTGAGACGGGCCTTTCTTCTACCTACCATGAGTGGTGTAGATGGATGGATCATTCACATTCGATAGGACCAAAGCAAACTGCACACATGCATACCAGTTCTCCGGTGGTTCCTTTTCCCAGGCATGGTCCAAGTAGAGTGAAGCATAGTCGACGTGATTGCCATATGGGAAGAAGAGAATCCGCCTATTATCGTATTATCAGAATCGCACCTTCTAACGTGTGGAAAAAGTGATTCCACTCACCATGGGGAGCCTCCGCACTGGAATGCTGGCCCATGTTCTTTCCGATCCAACGTTCGCCAATTTTTGACGTGCCATGTATGATGTGTTTCATCCAGTGTTTCCAGTTCTGGGTCTTTCGGGAGGATTCGTGCCATCATTGCAGCGTCTATAGTAAAATCCGTATTAGATATCATTCTCCAATAGCAGCTCCAAGCGTATAGATCGCCAATAGCATGCGTGTTGCCGTTCCGACGGCTCCGTTGCGGGGTTCGCGGTACGCAGGGAAGACGGGTGTAGAGGCATGACGGAGATGGTGAAAAGGGAAGTGAATGCCCTTACGGTCATTTGCAAGAGGCTCTGGCTCTGGCTCTGGCTCTTCAGAGCCGGAGCGGGAAACGACGACGACGTCCGTCCGGTCATTGTTATTCTGATATTGCTCGTATTCATCGACGAGCATATCAGGCTCTGCGGGCTAAGATAGAAAGCAACAGTTCCTATGTCAGTTCCATTCGTTTTTTTTTTTTTTTTTTTCGGGCTGGATGATTTGGGATGGATGCTGGTTCCAGGCAAAGTGTAGAACTCACGTTGTCCATATAGGGGAGAAAAGTGCGTCCACCCACTGTAAGAAAACTCCGATTTGATCAAGCCCAACCAAACACTAAAAGAGCGTAAACAGTAAGGAAAAGCGAGGGGGTAGAAGTGACAGCAGATCCGAACAGTTGACGAAAGAAAACAATCGTCAAAACGGACAGGTGAGTTGGTCGGAGGAGGTGGTTGTGGTGAGTGGTAGCAGTGGAGTATAGAAAGTTCAGTGACGATGGACTGCAGCCGAAATCCAGCTTTCTTCTCCGAGCTGGCGGTGGCGGAGTGGGAGAACAGCGACACACAGCAACCACTAATGAAGAAACCCCCAGGAATGCTGTTATAGCATCAGTATTTCCTCTCTAAGTAAGTTTTGGTTCTGTTGTTTTGGCTTGTAGAGGACAGATCTGATTGTATTGTGGTTTGGTGTCGTCATACTCAACGCATAACTACTGCTGCTTTATGCCATTTTCTTGTTCTCTATCCCATACTACTAGTCCTCAATAACTACTGCTCCAATTATCCCTGTATACGCCTATAGGAGTTCTTATTATGGGTTTGCTGTATCTGATGAAGTGGCCTCTTAATAATGAATGCACAACGGCATTGCATCATTGGTGTGATATCAGTCTCGAGCATCATCCCACCAGGTGACATGAGATGCAGTAATCTGTACCATAGATCACCTTGGGAAGTCCTTGGTAAGATTTTATCAGCATATACCCCCATGGATAAAAATTATTTGTATGTCCCTAGGCCCGGTTGTCCCATCCAGTTATGTGCCTCGACGGCGTTAGCACACTTGAATACCACTACAATACTTCCATCTCTCCGATTTCCTTTCGCTAAGGCACAAACTGGGCTTATCCCAATCATGATTCCTTCTCCCCACGGTAATCATGATGCATGTCACATGTTAGCGCTCGTTCTGAAATTGTTCACCGCCCGGTGAAGCTCTCGCCGCGGTCTCCCCCTCTGTCCTCAAATCACAATAACTTCCCACAACAGCATCTCAATGGTCAGCTGGAAAACAAATCTCCGGGATAGCCATGTATGATTCTGACCGGCTTCCCGGCTGAAATCAAACCCCCTTCTGGACGAATTGAGTGCATGGCGGACCAGTATGCACCTGAGTCATCCGGCCCGCTGCTGGCATGTTTTTCCACGCAGATGCGCTTCTGATATTGCACGCTCCTATTCCAGTGTTACACATGAATTACCACCATGGAGGCCAGTTTCAGCCTTGGATGAGTATGTGGTTCATACAGATACGTCAATCCGCGATGGTACCATACTAATACTGCACCAGATGGGTGGAGCGAGAAACCCGACCCATCAGTCTTCGACAGTTGACGTTTTTTGGCCGGACCCTGACAGAACCGCGATTGATTAGTTCCGGAAACTATGTTCGGACGGAACTACCAACTAGGTGGGTGATTATGTCTTCGTCCCATACAACCGGCCCATCTAACCTTCTTTTATAGAATTGCGCACCGTCTGCGAGATATCCAACAATTGCCATACGTGGTTGTATCGAATCCGCACCTCTCCCTCGTATACGAATTATACTACAAAGCATTCGAGAGATTTCGAGCCATACCGGAGATTAGGGGGTTGGAAGACAATGACGGATTTTGCGACATCCTCCGCACGACCCTCAAAGAGCACCTGGTTGCAATTCCAAAGCTGGCAATGGGTGTTCTAGAATGTCGAGGCCTTCTGCCTCCGGAGGTCATCGATGAATTCATGAACACACTCCTACGAGCGGTGCGTACTCTCCTGTGATTTCCGTCAGCACAACTGATAATTGTCTTTCAATAGAGAATCTCTCGCCGCGTTATTGCAGAGCAGCACCTAGCACTAACAGAAAAGTTCAACTCTCCGTGGCATTTCCCTGGCTCACAAGACCGCACGGATACGAACGCAGACTTTGTGGGCGAGGTCTTCCTAAAATGCAACGCAAAAGAGGTGATTGAACGGTGCGGAAACCTAGCGCAAGATATGATGCGACAGAGCTCTGGATCGGACAAGATCCCAGATATCTGCGTACAGGGCCACCCAAATGCCACATTTCCTTACATCCTGAGTCATCTGGAATATATCATTGGCGAACTTCTGCGCAATTCAATCCAAGCTGTCAGCGAGAAATACAAAAATTCTTCGGAGAAACCACCACCTATCGAAGTGCTTATTTGCGAAGCACCACAGCACGTCATAATGCGGATATCGGACCAAGGCGGAGGCATACCTCGTGGTATTCTCCCGTATCTATGGTCTTTTGATAAGGGACCACAGAGCAGAGCGCATCTCGAGAATCTTAAACGGGTTCCTGCGATGGCAGCCACAATGCAAGAACTCACGGTATCCAAGGAACGGAAGCACGCTGACAAGGAAACATTTCGCGAAGGCTCATTGGATTCTCTGACTTCACGACCTCCAAATCTACGTCTTGGTATGGGATTACCTATGAGCAGGGTCTACGCCGAATACTGGGCAGGTAGTCTTGAATTACATAGCTTGGAAGGCTATGGTGTGGATGCATTTCTTCAGATATCAAAGCTCGGCAACAAGAATGAGCAGGTCACGAACAGAGCAACGATTGACGCTGTATGATAGGATTGATTCTATTATATACTTCTATGATGTTGAACGCCTCTCAAACAATACCTGTCTTGTTCAACACTGCACGTGATGTGTCATGCTATACCGCATCCGGCAGCACCGCCGATCCGGCGGAATCCGACGCGCGCTTTCCCATTTTTGGACAAACAATGTCAGGCTTACCTTCCACCATTTATTCTTACTTCCTACCAAACCAGCAAAAAGAAAGGGAAGGGACAGTTAGTTACGCCACAATGAAGAACCTTGACGCTTCCAAAGACGACAACCCCGTCGCCCTCATCTACATCCTCCTCTCCACTATCCTTGTTTTTAGTTTCCTCGGTACATTCCTCGATCCCAGTGGTAAACGCTCTCCAAAGGCAGCAGCCAGCGAGTGATATTGAATTGAAATACGTGGAGACGAGGGCGCCGATTATTTCTATATCCTAAATCGATCTTTATAAGCAACATGGCGGGTGTATTTTCAATGTTTTTGGTAATTTTTGTTACGGTGCTTGGTATGTTTGCTATTGTGCTAGGGATCTCCCTGCGGGACTCCCCGGATAATCGTACTGAAGTCCCCATGCTAACCGATCCAGTGCCTCCTCTTGGTATCCTTTTGATCTCCGGGTGCAACGTCGATCTGTGTGTCAATATCCTTCTCACGGTTTTGGGGTCCGTTATTTCTGCATCCCTTCGGAGACACAGGAATAATTGGCTGACCAATATTAGCTACCTCCCTGGTATTATCCACGCCTTATATCTCGAGCACGTATACTATAGCCGCCGCAACGTGGATCCAGCTGCTGCGCCCCGGGGAGATGCGCCTGGTGTGTATTCGAGCCGTATCCAACATGGTGAGCGCCATAATCAAGCCCAAAGGAGCTACGGCACTGTTTGAATTAGGATTATATAGCACAAGCGCATGGTAGTGATGGACACGGAAAATGGACATGAGCTTTGATGGTTTTGGTTGCGCCTGGCTATTCTTTATTCGCACTCGTCCTGTTCAACCTCTCCTTATTTTTATGGCATTGGCATAGCAGCGTGGATATTTTTAGACCCAAAACTCCGTGAATTCATCAACTACCATGTCTCCCAATTCTAAGCCGCCGATTTCTGAGCCTCCCCTTGCGCAGCAGCCGTACTAGCCCTATTACTCCCCTTCACCTGCGGGAAATCAAACGGCTTGCTAACACCCGCCGCACCCCCAGTCCGGGGAACAGATCCAGACTGCGGACTCCACCACAACGCCCCAACCCAAGGCTGCACATTCCACCCCACAGAAAGTGTCACACCCTCCCTTTCTGCCAACTTGCCCGTGATATCCCCAATCTGGTATTTGGACTTCTGCCCGCGCAGTCGCAGCACACCCGGCTCCGCTGAATCCTTTTTCTTATTCTTATTCTTGCTCAGACCGGTGCTCTTGCGCTTAGTCATAGACGAGGAAGGGAAGAATCGCTCGCGCAGTGCGTTAAACGAGTACGGGGATTCGGGGGCTTCGATGATGGTATCCCAGATGATGGACTCGGAGAGCGGGTTTAAGGAGGAGGAGGGCTTCTCGGAGGAGGAGTAGGAGGCGTAAACGTAGACGAAGAGCTGTTTTGTGTTCCAGTTGAAGAGGGGAGTGAGATCTGAGCTCATGATCAGACAATGTTCTCTGAAACCATGGAAAAAAAAAAAAAAGGGACAAGACGTACCAGCATCCAAATCAAACCGCATCTGTGCATACTCCTCCTTTTTACTCGAGTAGTAATGCGGGCGTCCTTTGACCCTACATCGCATTCATCAGCATATTGTGTCGCATGTTGAAAAGCCCGGAAGAAAGGGAAAACATACACCTGAACATTTTTAACTTCAACCTTCGACATCACATTATCAGCCGGAAAAAACAGAACACTGAGAGCAGCAACTCCAGCGACGAATAAAGCCACGGTAGTAAAGAAACCGAAGACGCCTTGGGCGCGGTTGAGTGAGGAGTGCATATTCGTCTATCCAATATAATCGACAGGAAGGGTATAACAAAAGGAAAAGGGAAAGAAACGGCCGGGGAGAAATTGAAAAGACCCCTTTCTGTTGGGTTACGAGGCAATGCCGGCGAGGCTGACTGGACTGACGATTGAAAGTGTACAGATATGCACAAGCCACAGTTTGGGGGAAATGTGGCTGGTGCAGTATCTCTTATCGATAATGATTTCCCGATACGGGCGATTTTGGTCTGTACATCGAGATGAACCAGGGCGATTCATGTCCTCGTGAGATGTTCTTTGCTTCTTTTATGTGGCCTGATTATTCGGATAGCTGCATATCTGTTTAATTGAGGGATTTGTCATTTGATTTCATGTTCGAAACGAATGTGGTGATCTATTATCTGGGTTGAGGTTGCTTGTTTCATTCGGATATCAAAAGACGGCTCGACCCCTCATCAGCAGCTCAAGAAACTAACTTGTCAACTACATTCTTTTACTTCATACTTAATCAAATACAACTCCTCAATTGCTTCAAAATGGGAGACCACGTCGTCTTTTTTTACGGTAAACATAACGCATCCTTCAACCCAGAACATATAGCAACCCCACGTCACCACCCGTCAACGATCAACCACACTACTAACCACCCAAGCAGGAACTCTAATGGCCCCTCAAATCCTCCACCGCGTAATTCACGGCCGCCCAGACCCAGAACCCTGGCAAAAGAACCTCCTCACCTTCCAACCAGCCATTCTCCACGGCTACCGCCGACACCGCGTGCGCGGAGCCGATTACCCCGGTATCATCCCCGCAACAGAATACCAATCGCAATCGCAATCGCAGGAACAAGAACAAGAAGTACAAGAGCCAACAGGGTCGACTCACAGAGCTTCTGTCCTCGGAACGCTGGTCTCGGGCCTCACGGACGGCGATATCCACCGGCTTGATATCTTCGAAGGATCTGAGTACATACGCAAGTCGGTCAAAGTGCGGACGTTACAAGAGTCGTTGAGTCAGGATCAAGGGGATGAAGAGACAAATCCGGACGGGCATTTGAGGGATGTGTTGGATGCGGCGGGGGCAGAGTTTGCGGATGAGGGGGAAGAGGATGTTGGGGCTGTGACCTATTTGTATATTGCTGGGGAGGGGAGATTGGAGGATGCGGAGTGGGATTTTGAGACGTTTAAGAGGGATAAGATGGCATGGTGGGTTGGAGCCGATGAGAGTGAGTGGTGATGGTGGTTGGGGTCAAGTCTTGGGTTTCATGGGTTGTCTATATTGCATCTGAATTGGGGTGATATACATAAAATAAATGGTTGCATCTGGGTGCTAGAATATAAAATAATAATACGAGTCAACTAAAAGTAAAATGCAATTGGTATCTTATGCTCAACCCTCTCTTGAAACGCCAGAATCCAATGCCACTACTCGAGCCTTCTATGTAGCAAGCAAATTAACAAAGGTATAAAGGGACAAAGACATTATTTACAATACTCCCAGTTCCGCCACTAGCTTCTTACGTTTCTTTTTAAAAGACTTCGTCTCCTTTGGAGGCGATGGCGGGGGAGTTCCACTAATTTGCACATCATTCTTTTTCTCTTTCTCTCCATCGTTTGAAGGAGCAGGAAGGTTCGCTTTCACGGCAACATTATCGTCACCGGCGGTAACGGCATTGTCATTTTTCTTCCCCGGTTCGGGTACCGGAGGCTGGATACCGATTTTCTTCTGTGGCGATGTGAGATCCAAGACCCCAGGTCCTGGCTCTTGACTGTCGGGAACTTCGACTATGTCTCCATCGGCTCTTTGTTCCGTTTGTATAGATCGCACGACTTTTGATGGATGAGTCCCTTTGTGTTTCCCAGTGCGCGTAGGAGTTCCTGGGGAGAAGGATAAAGATAGAGGTTGTAATGAGCCTGTAACTGAGACCTCGATCTCGGGGGCCTCTTCTGGAGGGTTTTCGGGTTCTGCAGGAGGTAGAAATGACGAAAAGGGCCCAGTCGTCTTTTCTGGATGTGGCAAAGCCTTCTCTGGATGTGGTGAGGCTTTTTCTGGCAGTGGTGAGGCCTTTTCCGGCGGTGGTGAACGTTTGGTCTGCGGCGCATCCGTATCCGATTTCTCTGCTTCCTTTGCAGGCTCCGGCTTCCCCTCTTCGAGCAGGAAGGAAATCGGCCGCATATCCGCCATCACGCGCTTCTCGCCTGACTCCTCATGACTGAGCTGCTCTTGTTCATCGTAGAGGTCATCGAGGAACCTGCGCAGGCGCTGGCGTAAAGCACCGGATGACAAAGGTGGCCAGTCTGTGCGCTCATCCATCTCTCCTCGAAGCAACCTCGACACGAACCCATCCGGATCTTGAACGAACTTCTCCACATACGCCAACAGATATAACCCGCAATCCGAATAATTGGACTGTAACGGGATCGAGCGAGCTCGCAGGCCACCAATCAATGCGGTATCGACATCGATTCCCTTTTTGGACTGGGCTTCTTCGGATAAATATTGACGCAGATTTCTGATGGTAGGCGATCGGGCTAAGTTTAACGAGTCAAAGGTGATGATTACTGGATCCAGGGGATCCTGGGCATCTCGCGCATTACGGGGTCCGCGCGACTTCTTCGACTTTTTTGACTTCTGGGACGGCGCTGTGGGTTTAGGTGCGTTCTCTGTCATTTGCTGAGCGCCGCTCCGTGTTTTGGGAGAGCTGGTAAACCACACGGGAGAAGTATTCGGGTTCTCCGCTTTCTCAGGCCAATCTTCATCAGAAGCAGGAGTCTCCTGCGCGCCCTTGCCGTTGATTTCCGTTTTATCATGCAGTGTCATTGCGGCCATTGATCGCCGTGCCGTTTCTTCTTTGGCAGGCTCAGGATTCGCTTTCTGTTCTTCCGATCTTCCTTGTCCTTTCGCAACCTCTTGACTAGAAACTGGTGTGTCGGGAACCGCCTGGACCTCACCTTCAGGCTGAGAGGCAGGCTCTTGACTATCATTGGAAGGTGGCTTGTCGGCATCCGAATCTTTCTTCAAAATCCTCTGCAGGTTGGGCAAGTTGCATATGATAGCAACATACCAATGCGCAGACTCATTAATAGGAACAACAATGTAGTCATAGCTGAAGATATCCACGCTTCGAGTCCACTTCTGGACGCCTTCATAGTTAACAACCCTCCTGTTCTTAGGATTATTTGTGAGCGTCGCGTAGAAGTAAGAGTTGAAAAAGTAAACCCGTTTCGCAGCGTCTTTGTTGGTCCGTTCCAGATGGTCTTCCAGGAAGCGCATATAGAACCCTATGAGGTTGTCGTTCAGGAATTCATCAGAACGGAGGCGCTCACGATCCTGAGCATCCACTTCAGCCTTCTTCTTGCCATAGCGCGGGTACAGAAGCGGCTTCTCCCATTTCGCGAATGTTCTAGCAGGCGGCTGCGGCGCAGAGTCGTTTTCATCGTCGTCATCGTCGTCACATATGACTGTGGCTGGTTCTGGATTTGTGCGGTGTGTTGTTGATCTTGTTTTCCGATTGCTTGGAGGGACTCTAGGCGAATATTTCATCACGGGAATTTCAACCGAGTTACTTGCCCCCACTCTTGTAGGATGAGCGTGAGCGATATCATCGGATTTGTTATATTCATTGATGAGAACATCTGCGGACTTGGTAAGGTGATCATCGGTATCATTGAAAGATACAGTAGTTCTATCGTCGACTTTGAGCGACTCAGAGATCTTCGGGTGCTTGGGCGTCTCTGCCTCTGGTTCAGCAACCGGCTCGGAGACGCTATCAATGCTAGGACGCTTCAACCTATTGGAAAAACAGATAAATTCCCTTTCGGTGTTCTTGAAAGTGCGATCCATCCATTCACTAGTCACATGTAAGCATTGGTTGAGATGTTTAAACAGAGGGCGCGGGAGAGCGTACCTTGGCTTGTATTTGAACTTGACAGGAAGAATCTGCAACAAGTGAAATAGCTCGTCTTTTACTTTAGGTGTTATTAGTTCAATATCCATTTGATTACACTGCCCTTCCGTTTTCGACAGCCCTAGACGAATTTTACAACTCGTGTCTTCTCCGTAAATGACCTGCATAATCTGGCGTAAGGAGATTTCTTGTTGTAATGATGAATCAGGTGTATTCCCAACAACCCACAAACGATTAGTGTCAAGATTTACTTCAACAGCCTTTTCGCTTGATGGGCGTAGCTGGACCGTGCCAAATTGAACTTGAGACGCTTCGAATGACCAATAAGGTTCATTCAACTGACGGGTCTGTTCGTTTGGAATCCTTCTCCTCTTTTTGCGGCCTTTTTTATTTTTCAAACCACTGGGCGAGAAAGTTGTTGAGTGAATATCGGAGGGCGAAGATCTCAGTGCGCTGCTGACGTCTTCCTTACGAAGCGGCAAAGTAGATGGCACTGGCGGAACGGTTACCGCACCCTGCAATTCATCCGAGCTGCCGGAGGAGCTTCGCCTTCTATTCGAGACCGAGGGACTTGAGATCGCTTTCAGTCTAGGGGCAACTTTTGGTCCTTGAACCTCAACGCTTTGTAAAATTCCCGGCCGGGGAGCTTGATTCAGACCTTTGGAATGGGATGTGATAATATTTGATGCAGACGAACGTCTTTCTTTGGCCGCATTTTCCGTAAAAATCTCATCATGGTAACTATCGGATGGGACAGACTCTGGAATTGTATCTTCATTAGGCTCCCATGACTGGTTTCCCGTATGCTTTCTTGATGGAGACGTGTGCGACGAAAGTTCGGGCACTGGAGGTGTGCTTGAAATTGGTGCGATTTGCTCCATCACGTCGTCATTATCCGAGATACTATAAACATTACTAGGCGCTGGTTGGGAATTGAGACGTTGACGTTTAGCAGGTCTGTCGAAGGATTCGACGTTTAGAGCATGTCCAGTTCGTGATGCGTCGTTAATTGCCGTAAGCAATTCTTTCGGAGTATTGGATTTCTTTCCCCGCGCACAAAATGGCCCGCTTTGCTTCGAGTTTTGCGATACCCGGTCGACAGGTTTGTTCGAGAATTGCTATGGCGCAAATGTTAGACTGAGCAATAGGGAAAAGAAGGGCGACATAATGCCCTAATAGCGACATACCTGTCCCGGTTTCATCTTCTTCTTCTTCTTCGTCGCAGCAACAGCAACAGTCTGCCCCGGTACGATTGGCACGCCACCGTTCTTTTTTCTGAAGGCAGATTAGAACCGAAATCCTCCCGATTTCTTATCAAGTTATCGCTAGAACGTACACATAGGAAGGGAAGAGCCGCTTCTCATCATCCGAAGTAAACTCACGTCTCATCGACCTTTGCTGCCCCGTCCTAAGCACCCAGTGTATTAGCACCGCACAACCCCGATTCTAAATCCGTGGCGCAAGGATATATTTACAGGCGACTCATCCCTACCACTGGACGGGGAATGGTCTGGCTCAGTAAGGAACGTACAGCTCGTGGTCTTTGCGTAGATCGTCGGAGTCTGTCGGCGGCATATCTAAGGTCGGTCTATTAGGATAAGCGCAGATGAATGTCAGCTTCCATGTAGACACCAAAAGGAAGAAAGAATATAAAAATTATAGATGGAACGTAGCCCCAGCAAAGAAGACAGAAAAAAGAATAAAACTACCCACATCTGCAAGCTGGGGATGATTCTCGCTATAATCCATAGACACACCAGAAAAAGAAAACCCTATAGACAAAGCGGCATCCCCCACACCGGACACCTGAGTCCGCGCAGTCTGATCGGAGATAGCATGAGAGGGTCGTAGAGGAGATAGGGAATCGTCGGCGCTCCGTGGAGGATTAGGACCGGGGCGTTGTTCACAAGACGGGCGGGTTACAAATGTGACAATCTTCCAAACGGCAGCATGTGTCTACCCTGGGGATCATTGCATGACCAGGATATGGCCAGGATATTCTGTCAGTCTTATAGTTGGAGACGGAGGAGAAGCGGATCTGTTTTCTTGGATTATTGGATTATCGCAATTGGTTGCGAAGGCGGTCGTTTTCTGCCTACTCCGCCTTTTTTTTTTTTGTGGGTACGACGGGGACAAACAGATACAGAAAGAATGGAAAGTATGACAGGAAATACGACTGAACATGTCGAATGGCATGTATTTCACTATGCATCTAGTCCTTTTTGCCTTACAATAACAGGCATGAATCTAATGATAGTGATAGATGTCAGAAATCAGATGTAGAATTCGCCCAGTACCCCGATCCTAAACGCATCCCAATAGCTTTTTTGGCTTTTTTTTCTTCTTTTATTGCGTTTCCCATTTACTGTACAGGGCCCTAATTCAGGCACAGATAAAGCATATCACGACGCCGTCCCTTTTCATTTATCTCCAGTAGAGTCGTCATTGGCCGCCGTTCTCCGTCGATCGGCTCCATGGTGTTGATGGTGGTTGTTGTTATTGTGGTGGTGCTGGTGATGCTGGTTGGCTTTCTCTTGGCGAGCCTGGTCAATCGCAGAGCGTTGAGCAATGCTATCGTCATGGCTCTTCCATATGATATTGGTGTCAACCGGGAAGGCAAGCAAACGTTTGATCGTTTCCCTAGTAAGATTAGTATGAGAGAAAACAGAAAAAAAAAAAAAAAAAAAAAAAAAAAAAAAGAAAGAAAGAAAGAAAGAAAGCAGCAGCATATGAAGAAAGATTGTACCTGATCTTGATGTTCCGCCCTCCATCAATCCTGGTCCAGACACTCAGAACATCCTCGCCACTCCGCACGCTGAGAACAGCACCGCAAACCTCGTCGGCAGCCTCTGCAAACTGATCGCCAACGATAGCCAATAAGAGATCCTCCCAGTACCGATCAGCCACACCCTTCTTCAACCGTACAATCCACTTGCCGCCTTTCTTATTTGCATCATCCTCCCATACTGGACGAATGCCTTTCTTGAAGATGTGATAGTCGGAAACGGTAGGGAGAAGAGAGGGTCGCTTAAGGTGGGCGTATACCGACCAAAAGCTCTCCACGGACGAGATAGATGCGAGGGGAATGGTGGATTTTTCGTAGTCGGAGTATTTCGGTGTAGGGGGGCGGTACCAGATCACCCAAGTCGACTTCAAGGGATGCTCTTTGGCGCCGGCACCAAAACCCCTAGTCCTCTGGCTCTCTACCACAGCTTGTTCGGTGGTGTTGATGTCTCGTTTGTCGCCGGGAGCCTTTGAGGAACCGGTGTCGGAGGAAGCGCCGGGAGTCTTGGGAGCACCAAACGAGGCGAAAGCGCCGGAACCTAGGCCAAACGCGGACGAGGCATTCGTGGAGGGGGATGCGACGCCACCGGATAGAGGAGATATTGCGTTGAAGGGATTCGAACGGCCATGGGAGCTATCGGGACCAAAACGCTTCGAAGTGTGACTGCGGGGAAGGTTGGCACCACCATCCTTGCCGTCGGGCCCCGTCATGGACAGCGACAGCTTGGCGGAGCTGGACAAATCACCGGAATGATTAGTTTCCCCTTTATCGTTTCATTGGAGAGGTGCAAGTCTGGCAGTGCGACTTACTTGGTCCGGCGCGTCCACAGATTGGCGTTATCCATCGAGACAGATTCTGAGACAGCCCAAAAAAGGAGCGGTCATCAGGGAGAACCGGAACAACCGTGAGAGACCGAGGACACCACTGATGACTGACAGGCGCAATAATAGAACACTCGGATAAAAATGTAAGGTAAGAAAAAAAAAAAAAAAGAAAAAAGTGGCCAAAAAGTAAAAGACCGGATGCAACTAAGAGATCGTAAGATGGCGACACAGAAAGTGGGCGATGCAATGAAATATGAAACTCGTGATCGTGACGGTGGAAGTAGAGATTACTGAATAGATCTTGTAAACCTTGATGCTAGCGACGAGTAAATGAGGGAGAGGGAAGGGAAACAGTGAAAGTAATAGTAGTGGAAGAGACAGTGAAGTGAGAGGGGATCGAAAAAGATGAAGAAGAGAAGAATTGGAGATCCGGAGCTTGACCCAATCACCGCTCAGCCCCGCCGCCGCCTACTCCCGCCGAGTTTTTCCGCTTCCGAAGAAGCTTTTTTATATATTTTTCTCGACTTCTCTTTTTCCTTTCCTTCTTCTTCTTTTCAACCAAGACCACCGACTCAAATCATCGCCGGACGCGCACTTTTACTGCTTCCACTGCTCTGGCGATTCCGATGTGTGTGTCGAGAATAAAATACCACTTCTAAAACCATCATCACGAGGGCTTCTGGCTTCCATGATGCGGTGATGACCTGAAAGACGGGACATTTTTTTTTCTTTTTTACTCCTGTTTAATTGTCGATAAACGACAACAATTAGATTTGGCTAATATGAAATAACTTATTTATGTGATATCTGTCCTTTGATCAAAGTAACAACGGGTGCGTACGGTTTCATGCTCCCTCCCCTCCACAAACACAATGTATCGCCTATGAAGAACCAATCGTACTCTGGTAATCCGAGATGTTCAACCGCTACGACTACACTTCAGCCTTTGCGCTGTGTTGCTGGTTGAGCGTGAGGTCCTAAAGGCAAAGTCTGATGGCGTTTCCCTTGGATTTCAACCTGTAAAGTCAGTATGTGGTCGCAATTGCTGACCATCACACGGGAAGATAGATTCTTGTACATTTTGAATTATACCGTTCAGAATTCTTTTTTAGATGTTGCGACCATAAATGTATTCTTTAACATTGACGTTCCATTCCAAACAAATAAGCATATCCAGCAATGTCAACCACCCTGGTATCTCGTCAAAAAGATGAAAGAAGAAAAAAAGATCAAACACCGGCCGGTGCTGGTGCCGGTGGATACTCTTTACCAAAGTCTGGTTTGACACGCTTCGGATCCCTCTCACTCTGATGCACCGACGAGACTGCTTTTCGTTTCTCCTTCTGGTATTCCGCTGCGCGACGAGCCTCCCGATCCCTCTCCTTGCGTAGGGCCTTGGATTCGAATTCGTGCCAGTCGCCTTCGATTTTCTCCAGCCTGAGGAAGTGGTCAGTAAGAAGACTAAATTATGAATAGACAAGGAAAGGAAAACATACTCCAATGCTTGCCGAGGCTTCGGTTCCTCAGACACAAAGTAAGGATGTGCCAATACTTCCTCAGCAGTGGGCCGTTTCGATGGATCATACTGGAAGATATTGGACACTAAGTCCAGAGCGGCGGGGCTAAGAACGGTACCATATTGTTCCTCAAAAACCCTCTTCTTGCGCTCTGCAGGTCGCATCAATTCGAACCAAGGCATCTCCACAATATCAGACCATTCAGCGCGGGTCGGCGTACCAAGGGCGTTGTAGAGCTTGTCGAGTTGGCTAATTTCACCTCCCTCACCAGGGAAGACGGCCTTCTTCGTGAACATTTCGACGTACACACAGGCTGCACTCCAGACGTCTACCGCCGGTCCGTAGCGGGTTTCTCCCAGTAAAAGTTCTGGTGGTCGATACCAGATCGTAATCACACGGTTTGTGTAATCAAGTTGGCGGCTCTTGGAAAAAAACCGGGCAAGACCAAAGTCTGCGTATTTCAACAAACCCGTGTTGCTGATGAGGATATTCGCGGCTTTGATGTCACGATGAAGAACACCACGATGGTGAAGGTAATTGAGACCTTCGAACATTTGCTTGGCCAGGTCCTTCTTGTGGGCAGCAGTGAGCGTAAAAGTAGGATGGTTAATAAGACCAGTGAGATCGTGAGCAAGATATTCAAATACCATAAAGCACTCGTTGCGTTCAACCATAACTTCAAGCAAGCTGACCACATTATGGCTTCGGAGATGTTGAAGTAGCTTGATCTCGCGCACAGCCGTGACGGGAAACCCATCTTTCTCGCCTTCCATCCGAATTTTCTTCAATGCTACTCCCTGCTGAGTATATATGTGGATAGCTTTGAAAACCTTTCCGTAGGTGCCTGCACCAATGACTGATTCATTCCCAGGTTTTCGATAATATACAGAGTCGGATTGGGTAAACTCTTCGGGCAAGATAGGGCGTGGCTTTAGTCGGGTCATGATCTTGATTTGCTTCTTTGGCTCCGGTTCTGGCTCTGGCTCTGGCTCTGGCTCTGGCTCCGGTTCGAATTCTGGTTCTGGCTCGGGTCTCCAACCTCGATCTCGATCAGAGGAGCGTGTCCGGCGGCGACCAGGACGAAAGTCTGACCGTTTGTCTCCTCGTCTTCTGTCATAACGATCGAACCGACGATCATCTCCTCGTCGGCCACCCTTGGGTTCACGAAATCCTCCGCGGGTCTCTCGGAAATCACGTCGGTCATGTCTACCCCTGTCGCGATCACGATCTCGGTCCCGATCTCGGTCACGCCCTCCACGACGATCAAATCGTGGATCAGGCTTGAACCTGGGCGGTGGTCCGGAAATCATCCTGCGAGGCGGTGGAGGTTCAGCAACCCGTGGAGGCTCGCGAGGCTGCATTCTCTGAGCGAGATCGGGAACTGGCTTGGGGACAGGAGCTGGTGTAGGTTTTGCTTTGAAAGCAAAGCTAATTTTGCCTCCCTTGCTCGGACCAGTAGGTGCATTGGTGGGATGTGGTCCAGGTGGTGGCATTCTTTGGGAATCATTCTGTTCTGAAATGGGTTTTGGTCCTTCAGTTTCTAGTGAATGATCCCTGCTCACTGGTCGGAAAGGATGGCCACCCTCTTTGAAACGGGGAGAGTTTCGATCATCTGGCGGGGGCGGCGGAGGACTTTGTGACGGTTGGCCCGACGCCGTGTGCGGACTATGAGGACCGTTCCAACTTCGGGGATGCGTCGGGGCCCATTGGAGGTCGTCAAATTGGCCCCGACCACGGGGAGAAGGCCCACCAGTAGATCCAGAAAATTGACGGCCCTGGTTATGGTAACCACCGCGGTATCCAGAATGCACAACATGATATGGTGATTGACTCGGGGGTCTGCTGTAGGATATTTGCTGATTCCGCGGACCAGTTGGGGGAGGAGGATAGCTATTCTGTCGAGATGGAGGAGAGCGCCTATAGTATACCATGTCTGATTAGCCTAGCCCGAATTGGGAATGAAATTGGTTTTTCTAATGGCCGACTCACCCCTGCTGCCCATTATACGGTTGCCCACTCCATGGAGCCCGTCCCGACGAATACGGAGACGTAGGCCTAGGGGAATTTGAGGTTCTGTATTGTGGTGATGTTTCAAAGTGTCTGTTGTCAACATGTGGCTTGAAACTTCGCGAGCGTGGGGCATCGCTGTCACCAGGAACACTAGCGTTGTCCGCATCAAAACCTGACCGGGAAGGAGATGGCGATCTGGCAGAATCAACAAGCCGCATTGGCCTTGTCGAATTCATTTCCAGGTCGCCTCTAGAATCCCGATGAGAAAGCGTCGAAACTATAGAGTTCACAGACCGCGTTGAATGACGGGAGGCAGATCGATGACGGAAATTTCTTTCAAAATCGTCCTCCAGATGGGAGCTGCGTGACCACCTACGAGGTGGTGGTGAAAAAGAGTCTCTTCCACGGCCGGGAGATAGCGAATCTCTCCCCGGAGAGCCCACGCGCCCAAAATCGTTTCGGCGTCGGTCTCTCCCTCGTCTGGGTGGCCCTCGACCGCCTCTACCGCGACCTGGGAAACGTCCACGTTTCGGGGGGAAAGAGCCTCGGTCGAAACCCTCGCCGTGTTTGCGATGGTGACGGGGATAGCGCGGAGGATGAGGAGGACGGTGCTGGGGGCGATGAGGCGATGGACTCTGTGACCTTTTGCGTTTTGATGGCGGTTGTGCCGATGGGGAGTCGTCTGTTCGAAATTCCTTCTCAGCTGCCCACGGACGGTAATCCAGATGACCTGCTGAAGATTGCGAAAAAGGACGGAAACCTGTGTTCTTTCCACTTTCCAACGGGCCAGGGGAACGAGCGCTCGGTGTATCTATGGGCAAATCGCGAGGTTTGTGAGGTCCTTCGCGGCCAGGGTGAGCAAAAGCACGCGAGGGTGGCGGCGACCGTAACGAATGATCTGATCCGCCGTGTTTGGGCCGGGGAGGACGGTCTCGCTCCCGGTGTTTGTCCCTGCCTCTGTCACGGTTGTAAGGACGAGAATCTCGAGGCCTTTGTCTGTCGTGATCACTGGCGTTGTTGGCGGCGCTCCACTCGTCTCTCAACACCGGACTCCTACGGGACCCAGCCATGTAATCGTCTGCACCTGCATCGGGTTTAAGAAAGAACCGGAAAAACGAACACGGAGAACCAGTAGGACTGGTAGCCGACTGGACAACTGGGGGGAGGGGCGACGAAAGTAATTAGATTAGCCTGTAGATGAAAGCGCAGGAGATTCCGGGTGGAGCCAGGTCGTTTTGCCTAGTTCAGCGTCGGTGCGCCGTCCTGTGAGGTCGTCCGTTGGTTTTTCGGGGGAGGTTTTTGGGACGTGCGGAAGCGTGGTTTTTCCGGGCAGATTAGCCTGTCGAGGGAGTAAGGGAATGTTAGAATGATCTAAAGAGAAAGAATGTTACTAGAAGGGAAGGGAAATGACGCACCTCGATCTTAATGTAAATGCTTATCCACAAACTTTGAACAGTGAAGTCGTGGTGTCTACGAGAGTGGTTTAATTCCGTGGCAGTATGCGATGAAGATTGCCTCCCGAACGCCGCGTGTTTTTGCTGCCTCGCGATTCTACTACGAATGAAGGCGACAGGCAGTTTGACAAAATGCCACTCGATCATGACAGTTTCCTTCAATGTATTTTGGAAATGCCCAGGCTGCAATGGTCAGGTTTTTGGTGGCTCCTTCTTTTGCTCCCACTATATCGGGCTTTCGGCTTTGGGCCAGCCAGAAAACTGCTGCTCAAGCCCGGTTCATAATGACCATGAGTCCTTCGTGGGATTTTTTGCCCTTGAAAAGGCATTATCCTCGCTTTCTTTTCTCTTTCTCTTTCTTTCTTCTTGCCGTTCGTTGTCCACTTCTGGCGTAAGACATGGTTTTTTTCATGCCGCTCGTCGGTCAGATTATCCTTTCGCCTGAGAACATAGGTCTATCTACGTAGTGCAAAATGGCAACAATTGAGCACACTGGGCAGCAAGTAAAAGAAGACCAGTCCGCCAGAGAACCGTCCTGGTGTCGATAGGACGGTTTGCGGAGTGCCTCCGGATTCCGTCATTCCCATCGGCAACCATGGTGCTTCAGCGCGGCAAATCGGAGCAGTGAACGGTCTGTAATTATCCAAGACCAAGATTTGACACTCCGTTTCGCCAACCGCTTAGATTGTACTCAGAGTAAGAGTAGGGCACCCAGTGGTATGCTGGATGTGGCCCGCTGAGGCATCTCTGGCCAACAGTAGACGCAACGCGATCTTGCAAAAACAAAGTAATAAGTGATCGAAGTCCAACCAATGGTTTACGGCATATAATCACAATCCTGTGTATAATCCAAGCGCCAATAATCCTCTAGAGTTTCGGGAGTAGCTTGCAGCGAGACCAGGTAGTACCTGTGGAATTCATACGCTCACAAGTTCTATTCTTGCCTGTGATCCGACAAGTTTGCCGGAGTTTACTTACCCTGAATTGGTCCCAAAAGTAGAGACCGACCGAAACGCTGGGTGCGTACCTGACATAGGAAAGATACCACGAGCTTCGGGTAATCAGCAACTATCATAGAAGTTCCCGGAGATTGGTTATCGTGATATCACAAGCCCGTAAGCGGGTAGAGCTAAACTGTAGCCCCGTATCTCGGTCGCCCTTGAGATAATTTCCGTTCCCGCTCAAGAGGGTTCAAGTCCAGAAACAGAACAGAGATCAACGCCCCTGATAGGCCCTATATTCCGGACCGTATTACCGTTGCCCATTGATATTGCATGTGCGAAATTCGAATGTGTCTTGATCGATAATGAACGGGCGCCGATGGGAGATTGTCATAGCGGAATCCTCTGCGCTCGGCGTGGCCATGCACCCCAACAAATCAGAGAAGGGCTCAGAATAAAGAATCTATATAGATTAGAGAGTGAAAATGACCCGTGTTTGCCATATTATGATACGAAGCCTTGGCTTGTAAGCCGTTGCTGGCAGTGAGAAGAGTGGTCGTGAGGTCCGTGTCAGGCTGAGGTTGGCAACTGTGGAGGATGATACGTCCTGCACCGCCACGTTAGTGATCAAGCCACATACTCCAGGTGTGGCTTAGGGTTTATAGACTAGTCCTTTGCTTCGCCAAATCTGGATTCTATTTTTGATTATAGATTGTCTTCCTTTATCATTAAACCTGCCAAGTACATGGTGCGTAAATACCTCAATGGTGAACATATCCTTGAATTCAACCAACTCAACGCAACGCAAAAGAAAGCAAGCAAAACGAAGAGAATCAGACAGACTCCCTACAGTAGTTATCGACCACCGCATCCTTCCACCAGTTCGACGGCTCATCGCTGTTCTTCTTCGCTTCATAAAGAATCAGCTGAAGAAATGAAGTCTCAGGCTCAAGCTGGTAATCGCGCTTCAGCGATGGATCCATTTCACTCTGCACATAGACCCACGCATACATAGACCCCATATCCAACTGACGCCGGGTCATTTCTCTCAACAAAAGATCGTCGGGTCGCTGGAGTTTCTCTCGATTCGCAGTACGGCCGTAGTACTCGTACTGAAGCAGACCATGCTCGCCAGCAGGGACACCGAAAAGAAACATGTCAGCCTCATCGGGGGTGGGGATATACTTCCACCGGATAAACTCCCTCAAGACTTCGTAGTTCGTGCGGAGGGCGGTGCCTTTCAATGCGTCGTGCAGCAGGGTTAAGCTTTTCTGACCCAGGAGGAGGCGTCGGAAACCTGAGCGTGGGGTTCCGGATACGTTATGGGTGAAGCGCGATTCGATTTGAGCGAAGATAAACACCGCGTAGAAAACTTCATTGTCCGACCAAAGGTATTTATTCTGAACTGCGAAGGTGCGACGGCGATTGTCGGGGATGTCCATGAGGAACCATAGTTTATTTAGCACCCCCACGCATCGAGAGGTAAGGGTGTATCCACTCTGGTCAAAGAAGCCCATAATGTCCTTGACAACTTTTTCTCTGGAGTCGAGCATTTTGAGCCATCTTGGCGACGGGCGCATCTCCAACACTTGTCCCGGGACGTTTTCAGGTCTGGGGCCGCGACTGTAAACGGTGAGCTTCTGGTAACACGGATGAGCAAAAGTTTGAGCAGTGTCGCCAAAGCGTTTAAACGCGAAGCGCGTTATGGTTGCTTCAGGGTTCGCTTTTACATAGGAGTAGAAGCGTTTGGAAGCCGCATACAGGTTGAGGAAATCATTCACTTCAAGCGAATCGATAACCCTAGTCAGTAGCTGTGAGAATGAGGTCAACACGCCAAGAAAGTCCAATTGTGAGCTGAAATGATGGCGAACTCTGGTGCTCTGAGATGCGGTCCAGTCCCTGGGTCCATTCACAGAAGTGATGTTATTCCGCAGCCGAGGCAGCTGATTTGAAGACAGCGAGTAGCCCTGCTGGCCGATAGGTTCATTGCACTGCCCAGTATGCGCATTTGCATGGCTAGTAGTTGTAAGGCTTTGCAAATGAGAAGTACCAACGTTGCATCTATCTCGACCAACCGAATCGCCTTGCGTGCCGATGTTTTCGTTCATTGACTGGACTCCCTTTCCAGTGGCGTAATTGGCAGGGTCACTTGTCGCCCCAGGTCTAAGTGATTGAGGTGTCCGAGCCGTCCACGAGGGAGGCGGCAGAAGAACACCATCAAACCTCGCGGGAGCCACTTGAGGAAACACAACGGAGCCTTCACGTGAGAATTGTACCAAAGAAGGAGTGTTACCCTGGCCTCCTGGCCGCGCTCCTGGCTGCGACTTGGTGTTTTTCTGCTGGTCTGGCATGGTAATCATATCTTGTGGCGCTATACCAGCGATGCGCTGTTGATGAATGAGGTACGCCTGCAAGGACTGGTTTGCGTTCACGGGGACAAGCCTCTGCTCGGGCACAGCCCGCTTAAAGGCATTCTGATCCATATTCGACGCTGGGGCTGCTTGGCCATGGTTCAAAGGAGGCTGTATAGGCATATACCAACCACTACTTGGTTGCTGAATTCGAAGTCGATTCGTAGGGGCTGATTGCACTCGATTGTGGGAGCCCTGCTGTCCAACCACAGTTGGCCGAGCACAGTGTTGGTTTGTATTGGGCACCGCGGTCATCTGGATAGGCGCTCGAGTATTAGCCCGCGTATTACCACCAGTGGTATCGTTCACTGCAGTGATTGTTTCTCGAGTAGCATTACGTTCGGAGCCAGCTGCAGGAACCCGCTGGTTTGAATGCGCTGAGGGCTGGCTACAATCGGGGTCGCACATTTGCAGCAAAATCTCAGAAGCCTCGAGGATCTCACGAGCGTTTCTTGTCTGCAGCATATTGACTAGCGTTAGTATCACGTTGGTTTTAATGCAGAGTAAGGATTCAAAGGAGACAGTCAAGTAGCTGTTTAGGGCTGAAATACCGGATATTTATAGCTAGATGGCCTTTCTAACTGTTTAGAGGCGGTGGCAAAAAGTGAGGATTGAAGAAGAAAAGAATGTGAAACCACTGTTTTTTATAAGTGCAATTCACAAGTGGAATTGAAGCAGTGAATGACTAGGGCTAGGACCTGTGAGGGAACCCTTTGTCATACCAGCTGTTTGTTATGGAACAGAACAAACATGAAAACGGATTCCCAGTAATAGAGTTATTCTAAAAGCATGAGATTTTCAGTAACTTCCTTAGATGAACAGACATACACTGTTTTTATTATGAATACCAAACAAAGGATGTGACTTGAAAGAGGCATAGACATCAAAGTAATGTAGGACAGTATTGGTTTGAGTTGAAAGAAACAAGCCAAAGTGTTGAAATAGCCCCAACGCGCCACAGAGATACCCCCATAATTTATACAGAACTCATGAGTTGAAATACACAGTTCGAAGCCAGATAATCTTCTCTCATCGGGAGAGACGTAGCCTTCCAAAGGCATGAGAGAAATATGTGTAGAAGGAAAATGGTAGAAGTAGCACCCAGAAATGAAATAAAAGAAAAGAGAAAGCAACACCGGAGCTCGCAAGATATTCGAAAATGAAAAGCAACATGCCATAACCCATCAACCTGTTGAAAGGTAAACCACCGAAACTCCAACGCCATCAACGATATCCACTGTTAAACGAGGATAGCAAATATATGGCAAACAAGGGGCATCAAATCTCGTCATTATCTATGCAGGAGCGTCAAGAACTCTTCACGAGTCTTTGCACTCGACCGCATGCATCCCAGCATACAGCTCGTTGTGGTGGTGCTGCTCGTCTTCTGCACTCCACGCATCACCATGCAGAGGTGGGAAGACTCCATAACGACACCTACACCTCGAGGCTTCAAGACCTCTGAGATGGCTAGGGCGACCTGCTTGGTAAGACGCTCCTGCACCTGGAGTCGTCGTGAAAACATCTCCGCGAGACGAGCGAGCTTCGAAAGACCGAGGACACGGCGATCCGGAATATATCCAATGTGCATCTGTGATTAGACACTTGGTTAAACGAGGCGCCCTGAGAAAAGGAATATAGCTCTTCGTACCTTTCCGGTAAACGGCACCATATGGTGCTCACACAAAGAAAACACTTCAATATCCTTGACAATAACGAGTTCATCGTGATCTTCGTGAAAAACGGCACCATTGACGAGATCCCTGACATTCTCTTCGTAGCCCTTGGTGAAATACATCATGGCTTTGGCGTATCGCTCTGGTGTCTCCCGCAGTCCTTCTCTTTCCGGGTCTTCTCCAATACACTCGAAGATTGTCCGTACAGCGCCTGCAAGCTTCTGTACCCGTTCTTCCACCTCCTCTGGGGTCGACTCAAGCCGCTCTCTAGTTCCGGGGCCTGCGTAAAGAAACAATGTCAGACACAGCACCAGACACGTGTTACCCATGGTCGCATCACTCACAAGGCCAGCTCAGTCCATCAAAGTCAATTGGAGGCGCCAGAGTATAAGGGCTCGCTGGCCGACTGACTGTCGCTGGCGGAGTCAACGGGCCTCCCTCGTCTCTCGGATCGCGCGGTGGGTCATTCAAAGTAGGCCTAGAATTTTTTTGTCAATTTCTTAAGTACAATAGATCGCCCAGCAGCGACATACCTGGAGCTACCTGAGCTACGTACTGCAGGGGTCGGGCCGTTCTGGTCATCCTTATTGGCATTGGTACCGTTGGAATCACCGGTGGGTTGTGTCTCTGTCTCGGACGAAGCAAACTCAGCCGGTATGCGCGGAGAGAAAGATGAAAGGATTGATGAGTTGAGGCTTTCGCGCTCACGGGCAGCGCGTGTGCTAGTGGAAAGGTGAAGAGGTGAACTACCATTCAGAACATGGGGAGGAATGGCCGACTTCGGTTTCGGCCCCTCCGGGGGCGACCCAGAACCCATGACTTCAGTGATAGATAAAGAATAAGTGGTAAGGCAGGCAAATGAAGAGGAGGATAAGGATAGGTAAATATCGGGCTTCGATCAACGAATCATAAAATAAAAGCAATGACAAGCAGATAGTTGACGATGGGACAATGAAATCAAGTCTGTATTTTTTTTTTTTTTTTGCTGCGGGGGCGGCTTTTTTCGTCTGGCCGGCGTCAGTTCCCCGATTACTGTCATTGCTCACCGCCCAGGGTACTGGACCAATGAAATATATGGTATATGACTTTCCCGCTGAGGGGGGGTTGAGATGGTGCGAGAACTACGGAGTATGGGTTAGATTACTCTGTACTATGTAGCAGGACTTCAGTAACAGCAGAGTATGCTCAATAGGGCTGATATGGACGATCAAGTGCGGGTCTATGCGACTAAGTGACAAGTCTTCTGTAGTCCATCAATCTCTCTTGAGCTATTGGTCAAGAGGCTCAGCGCCACGCATGCATAAACAAGTGTAAATAGTCCTTTTCAAATTCCGAACGTCATCCGGCCTGCTTAGAAGTAAAACAATTAATACAAGAAGTGAGTGAAATCACATCATATATGTATCCATATGCGTTTTCCCCAATGCAAATCCATATCACGGCTCCAATTCCTCAGTCGGCACATCTTCCAGATCCTTGCCAACAATCGCATCGGATACCTTCCAGACCTGCAGTAAATTGTCTTCTGCGGCAGAGCAAAGAACCCAGGGGTCATTGAGATTCCAGTTGAAGTCAGAAATACGGTTGGTATGGCCACCATGCATGAACAAACTGCAAATCGTTTGAAGTCAGTATTTGTCATTGGAATGGTGAGGACAAATTGAGGAGATACATACAGCTCCGGAGGTCCATCCTGTGCATCTTCGGGGCTCTGTTCTTCGCCTGCCCGACTAAGGTCCCAGAACATGATCTTACGATCGTAACTTGCACTAGCCAAGACGCTCTCCTCAAATGGGTGCCAGGAGATTGAGGTGACAGAGTCGTTGTGGAATTCGAGTGCGTGAAGTTTGCTCTTCAGATTACGCAAATCCCATAAACCAATAGTTTTGTCTGCTGACCCAGTAGCCAAAACTGTCTCCGCAGCCGGGTTGAAGGCAATAGTGTTAATCGCATCGCGGTGCTGACCCTCGGCCGAAGCAGCGGCCGCACGAGTCGTGTCTGCTTCCCGAACATCGATGATCTGGAGAGTGATATCGTCGGATACGGTGCCGATGAGAGACGAATGAAGGGGGTGGTGCTGGACATCGTTGACTATCGAGCTGTGGTGTGTGTACGTGCGAGAAGGCTTGAGGGCCTTGTTACCCTTCGTGTATGTCGTCAAGTCCCTGTATAAAAATCAGTACCTAGGCAAATTGTTTATAATAAAATTCCATCAGTCTTACCAGAGACGAACAGTTTTGTCCTCGCTACCTGTCGCAAGATGACCCGCAACATGCGGACTCCAGCTAAGTCCAAAGCCTTCCTTTGTGTGGCCCAGAAGCTCCATTTGAGGGTTTACCGTCCCCGTGGGTAGACTTGGGTGTTTCGAACGATCCCAGATCATCGCCCTTCCGTCCGTACACATGGTAGCAATGACGTTGGGGTTCTGTGGTTGATACCGTGCCTTGTTGACCTCACCCTTGTGGTCAATCTTCTGCACAATGTTGAACTTAATTTCCATCGGAGCCTTCTTGGAGCTACCCCCATATCCACCAATCTCGCCCCGTTCCTCATCGTAATCATCGGGATTGGGAGCCGTGGGGTTGGGAAGCTGTACGTGGGCGATCTGTAGATAGTTTTGCGCATCGCTCGAGGTATGGGTTCCAATTAAGAGACGATGAGTCGAGTATGGTTTATCCGGAACTCTGAGAAAACATGAGCAAACTTAACTCCCACAATGGGTTTTAACCAGAGAGTGCATACTCTTGCTTATCCGGAAGCCATTGTGTTGTCAAAGTCGGCCATTCCAAAGCTGTACTCAGAATCATGTCATAGAGAAACGGTGCATTCTTTTTCCATGTTTTGTATTCTAAACAATGCGAATCCCGGTTTAGCTCTCCGGTCACAGCGGAATTTGTGGGTTTGCAGCCAGCTCTTCTTACCCTCATTGATGATCTTCTCTTCAGTGCGCTCTTCTTCTTTCTCCTCCTGCTCCTCAAACCCTGCACCCAAAAATAAGGTCAGCAAATGCTCCATGCAAAACAAAGAAATTGCAGAGCTGATTCGTACGTACCTTCCTCGTAGTTATCCATGGCGGTCTGAGAATGCGAAAGCCGGAACGAAGATTATAGAAATTACACAGAAAGGGTTACCAGCGTCTCAGTAAGCAAGAAAAGAGAGTAATAAGGATCTTCAAGAGTGGTGTAAAGGGTAGCAAGTCGGGGTTTTCGACAAGCAGAGCTTAGAGTTGCGAGTAGGGAAAGCTCTCTCTGTCTTAGAAACGCGACGTTTTCCCGTCCAGGCGCGTTAATGGGCGTTCTCGGATCCACTAGACTAAATGTGGAAAGAACAGGCTTGGCATTATGATGACTGTTATCCGAACGACTGCGGGCAAGTCGGAACCTCCCACTTCGTTGCCACGAGGAATCTCACTTGCCAACTTGTACCCAACGGCGTCTTTGTCGCCGTATTTTCCTATCACTTATCACTTCTTTCCTTATTGTACTATTCCATTTTCAATTAGTCTGGGGTATTTTGTTCTTGTCTAGTTGTTTTTGTTTTTGTGTCGCACGTTCTCTAAGGATACCCAGTGCTTTTTTTGTCTACGACCACACTGTCGTTTTCTGAGTATATCCTTTGTGAACCTGGATCCTTTATTGGGTTCTGACGACGACCACGACGACCCGACGAACGAACGGACGATTGAAAGACGAAGTGCCTCTATCTGTATTGTTTTCTTGTAACGATATTACGGTTGACGCTTGATTCATCATGGGTGTTCCGAAATTCTTTCGCTGGCTGAGTGAGCGGTATCCGGCCATCTCGATGCTCATTGCAGAGAACCGGATACCTGAATTCGATAATCTATACCTTGACATGAACGGTATTATTCACAACTGTACGCACAAGGATAGCGATTCGCCAACGTTTCGCATGACGGAGGATCAGATGTTCATCGCTATATTCAACTATATCGAACACCTGTACGGCAAGATTAAGCCAAAAAAGCTTTTCTTCATGGCCATTGATGGTGTTGCGCCCCGCGCGAAGATGAACCAACAACGTGCGCGACGATTCCGAACAGCTCTAGACGCCGAACAAGCGAAGGAGAAGGCTATCAGTCAGGGAGTCGAAATGCCTAAGGAGGATGCATTCGACAGCAATTGCATCACTCCAGGAACGGGGTTCATGGCGAAGTTAACAGAACAATTGAAGTATTTTGTCAACAAAAAGATTTCGGAAGACAAGGATTGGCAAGGAGTTGAAATTGTTCTGTCTGGGCATGAGGTACCTGGTGAAGGTGAACACAAGATCATGGAATACATCCGGCGTTCGAAAGCACAGCCTGATTACGACTCGAACCTTCGCCATTGCCTTTATGGACTTGATGCCGATCTCATCATGCTGGGACTTCTCAGCCATGATCCCCATTTTTGTCTTCTTCGTGAAGAAGTTACATTTGGTCGACAGGTCCAAAAGAAACCCAAAGAACTTGAACATCAGAATTTTTATTTGTTACATATCTGCATGGTCCGGGAGTACTTGGAGTTGGAGTTCCAGGAATTGGAGCAGGAAGGCATTTTGGGATTCCACTTTGACATGGAGCGGGTTATTGACGACTTCATCCTTATGGCATTTTTTGTCGGAAACGACTTTTTGCCTAATTTGCCGAATCTGCATATCAACGAAGGTGCCTTGGCTTTGATGTTCAAAATCTACAAGGATATCTTGCCTAAAATGGGTGGTTACATCAATGAACAGGGTGTCATCAACCGTGAACGGTTGGGGATGCTTGTTAATGCTTTGAGTGACGTGGAATATCGCTTCTTCGAAGCCGAGTACTCGGATGCGCAGTGGATTCGCGCCAAGAAGAATGAAAGTGTTCCGGAACCAAATAGGAAGCACAAGAGCCTTACGGTCACCTCGGCTCAGAAGGAACTCTTCAAAGACGTGAAGAAGTACGTTCTGAACCGACCTGAAAAGGCGGTAGAACCGAAACCTTTAGACCTTCCTTCTACGCTTCCAGCTCGTGATCGCAAGTTCATCGAACAACTCGCGGAAGATCTTCGTCTGCCATGGACAACGGTTTCTGATGAGCATGGCGACCGGTTTCTCCGGCTTCAACTCCCTGCGAGCGAGAATGGAGATGATGACAATGACGATGACGATGAGGAAGATGAAGAGGCTTCCATGGCCGTTCATCGTATCATTCGGAAATACGACAACGCCAAGGTAGAAGAGCTGTCACCCGAGGAGGCCCAGGAAGCGGCGGGGAAGGAGTACGAAATGAAGTTTCAGGAGTGGAAAAACAATTACTACCAAACCAAATTTGGTTGGGGCCTGGATAGCCATGAGGAGATGAAAGAATTGACTGAGAATTATTTTCAGGGCCTTCAATGGGTTCTGTATTACTATTACAGAGGCATTGCATCCTGGCCATGGTTCTTCCGCTATCATTATGCTCCAATGATTTCTGGTTAGTGCTACAGTGCAATTCGCAGTGATGATTCTAACAAACATTTCTTTTAGACGTGAAACATGGTTTGAATGCCGATGTGAATTTCAACCTTGGCCAACCGTTCCGGCCATACGACCAGCTTATGGGTGTTTTACCTGACCGAAGCAAGAAGATCGTCCCTCCTGCCTATCGGGATCTGATGACCTCGCCTGACTCGCCTATCGTCGATTTCTACCCTCGCGATTTCGAGTTGGACATGAACGGGAAGAAGATGGAATGGGAGGCTGTCGTAAAGATCCCGTTCATCGAGGAACGCCGCTTATTGGATGCCCTAAATGGAAGAGAGCACCTCCTGACGCCCGAAGAGAAGGCACGGAACGATTTTGGTGTCAGTCTCAAGTTCACCTACTCCCCCGATGTACAGTTCATCTATCCATCAACCCTTCCTGGCATCTTTCCCGACATCCCGCACTGCCATTGCATCGAGAATGCCTTTGATTTGCCTACCATGGATGGCCTGGAACCGTATATTGGGTTGGTTGAAGGTGTACAACTAGGGGCTGCAGCGTTAGCTGGCTTCCCCAGCCTGAAGACTTTGCCGCATGTTGGCCAACTAGGCTTCCACGGAGTGACCGTATTTCAGCAAGAGAGTCGTAATGAGAGCATGGTCATTACGCTTCTTGAGCCCGGCAGCAGGTCAACTGGCGAGCTGGCTAAATCTAAACTAGGCAAACGCATCTTTGTGGGGTATCCTTTCCTGCAGGAAGCTTTTGTTGTCCGCGTTTCCGATGAGTTATTTGACTACACGCTTCCTGAAGGATCACCACATGTTGTTGCTACTCCGCATTCCCCTCCAGAGATTGAAAAGTGGAGCAAGAAGGCCGATAGGATTGAAGGTGTCTATAGCAAACGATTGGGCACCATAATCGGCCCTGTGGAGGCTATGGTACATGTAAAAATGCTCAAGGGATTAATCAAGACAGACGAGGGTACCACCATGAAGGAATTCGCCGATATCCCTGGGCTGGAGACCGATTATGCCCTTCAGCTGGTTGTCGATGAAGTAGTGAACCCCGACGAACGATTCATCGAACGGGAAGCCTTGCCGATTGAGGAGGAATTCCCCGAGGGATCTCGGGCTTTCTTCCTCGGAGATTTCAACTACGGTAGACCTGTTCATATCACTGGACATGATGATGGCAAGGTCAACGGTATGATTGCTTCTGTGAAAGGACGAGACCCTGAATTCGGAAAGGAACGAGCCCGGGAAGCGGAGAAGTTGTGTCCATACATGCCTTCCTATGCCATTGCGAAGAGCTTACACCTGAATCCCCTGGTGCTCGCGAAGGTCACATCTTCCTTCAGCGTTGATGTTGAAGGCCAGCGCGTAAACCTGGGACTCAACTTAAAGTTCGAAGCGAAGAAGCAGAAGGTTCTTGGTTACTCACGTCGTGGAGATACAGGCTGGGAGTTCAGTCCAAAAGCAGTCAACTTAGTGCAACAGTACATGATCAACTTCCCGGAGTTCATTGCGGGCATTCAGGCAAACCCTCAGCGTGACCGGTATCAACCTACTGACTTCTATCCAGAGGAGGTTGCTTTCCAAAAAATGAAGGATATCCGGGATTGGCTCAAGTCGATCGAGGCTAAGAGCTTTGAGAGGGTCCCTCTCGATGCTGAACAACTCGACTCGGATGTGGCCAAGGTGATCGAACAGGATGCAGACACATACAATCAGAACTTGCCTCCAATGCTCCCCAAGAAGATCCGTGGTGTCCCTCGAAGTGCGCTTCTCCGTCCTTCGGACGTTGAACAGCGACTTGGAAACCAGAGCTTCAAGCTTGGGGACCGCGTTGTCTATGCCCAGGACTCCGGTAAAGTGCCGATCGCCACCCGAGGAACCGTCATTGGTCTTACCCGCACGCCACGGGCGCTGTTGCTCGACGTCGTCTTTGATGCTACATTCATGAGCGGCACAACATTGGGAGATAGATGTTCGCCCTTCCGAGGCCAGACTGTCTTGGCCTCTTCCGTGTTGAACGTGTCATACCGACAGCTGATCGCTAGTACCCGAGCTGCCGCAAGCCAACAAGCACAGAGCCACATCTCGCCACTAACGACTGCTGGCTATGGAACACCTCTGGGACCAAACGGGCAGGGCCAGCTGAGAAATGCACCGGCTCCTCCTCCGTTGAACAGCTCCTACCGTGGTGCTGTGGCTGGCAACGGACATGCACCAAGAGGCCGTGGCCGTGGCGGACTTCAACAAACTACATTGCCTTTCCGTCCCCATCCTAGCAACGGTGTACTCCCAACTGGTCCTCGCGGAAACGGCAGAGGTCGTGGAGGTTACGCTCGAGGAGGGTACCACGCGTTAGACAACAGTCACCCAGATGAGGGGATTATTAAAAACAACCCGAACTTCCAACCTAAGAGCTATTCCCAGGTTCCGCCACCCGCCTCTGTGAATGCGCGTGGACGTGGTCGCGGCCGTGGAGGCTTCCGGGGAGGATTCCGAGGCCGGATTGCACCCCGTGGAAGAGGTGCCGCTGCAGCAGGTGATTCATGATTGTGTTGTTTGCCTTCTTTATTTGTGATGGATTCAGTTTGGTCATATTATTATTCGTGTAGTAGATATTGGTTTGTAGCCTGGTTGATAGGGCATTCTATGTCGTATAAGTTATTGGATACGAAAAACGGAGTTGCGGAACATACACATCAGGTCCTTGGACCTTCTGTTTAGAGATGTTAGATGGTGAGGTTACACTGAGGGGGCTTATACCCAGAAATACAACTTTTTCGCTTGTCTAGACATGACCACTTGGCATATCATGATTATACCTTCGGGTTTGCAGATTTTTTTGCTCTTATATAAACGGAAAGCTGTCGTACTCAGAAGCTATATTATGATTGATCATTAAACTTTCCCTAGACTTACATAAATGAATAAAAAACTCAATCTCTTTGTAAAGCAACTTTTGTGCCAACCATATCCTTGAATAATCAAGTTCCACCCAATTTCTGTTCATTGTCGATTGCGAAAAGACCCAAAAGGGAAAAGAAAGCCCACACCAACCTCATCTCTCAAACAACAACTCCCTTCCTTTTCCTCATAACAATCTTCGTCCCCACATTAGGCATGATCTGCTCCCCAATCCTCACATTCGCCGGTCGTTCCTTCCTCTTCCCCTCATACTTAAACTCATACTCCGCGATAATCCGGCTCATAATCGCCTTAATCGTAACTGACGCAAAAAACCGACCAGGGCACGCCTGGCGTCCAAATCCGAAATGCATATTGTGCGGGCCAATGCTGACGAAACTGTTCGTTTTGATTTCGGGATTCACGGACCAGCGGAGGCCGGAGAAGGGTGTTGGATCGGAAATGATTTTAGGGTCGCGGGAGAGGGGGCCGGCTGCGAAGCAGATGTGGGCGCCAACGGGGAGGACGAGGCCGTCTGTGAGGATTACAGGGCGGCGGACGATGCGGTGCATAGATACTGCTTGCGTTAGTTACTGGGTTGGATGGATGGGTTGGGGGAGAAATGCTTACCTTCACCAGTAGGGTTGAATCGCTGTACTTCTTTCATGAAGCTATCCATACGATGCTGGGAGATGAACGAGGAATGAGTGGCATTGGTCCAACCATTTGCAAGCGTGGCCTGAATTTCTTCTCGTAAGGGCTCCAGATACTCCGGCATATCAATCAGATCGTAAAGCATATGCGTCATTAGTATCGAGCTGGTATGCACAACCGCCAGACTCATAATAATGAACAGATTGTGCGCCATAAAGTCTGCATCCGCATCACGAGGGTTATCAGCTCCATTCATCATCCACTGCAGAAAGTCATCTGGCTTCTGGTAACTCGGGTTATGTTTCTCCGCATGACGACGCGCATTGATCATAGGGATGAACAGCTCCTGCTTGACGAATTGGACCTGCTTATTGAGCTTGCGTACACTAGGGAGGAACTTGGCGACCAGGGGACGGAGGAATTTGGGGAATGGACGGAGGAGAATGACTGTGATGCCGACATTGATGGTGTAGTTGGTGACGGTTTCTAGCCATTTTTCGTTTCGGCAGATCAAGTCGCCGCAGATGATACGGGAGGTGGCGCGGGTGAGGAGACCTAGGAGCATGTTGTAGAGGTTGACGGGGGTCCATTTGTCTAGATGGTCAGCATTTCTTCCATCCTCGGTGGTATGTGGCACTTACTATCACACTTGGGGACCTCAATGTCGAAAGCATACTGAAGCTCATCAATAAGGTTAGGAATCAACCGACCTGTTCAAAGTCAGTGTCTACCACAGATAAATTCAAAGCACTCGTCTAACCTACCAATCGCAGGATTGAGCCACTTCGTAACAGTGAGCGAAGGCAAACGACTCTCAACCAACACGTTTGTATACTTCCCGAGCACATTCTAAATCAAACGGTCAGTCTTATTCCTTTTCCGCAGAAGAACAACAACAAAAGGAAAGAATCCACGAACGTTATACTGAGCATCCAAAGAGCTCAGCTCAGATGGTGCAACATTACGCAGCTCGTCGATATACTTGGCCGGCAACACGATCAGGTCTCCATCGGCTTTGAGGATGCGAAATGGGGTGTCCTTGTACTAAACAGAGACAGCCATTAGATTCGTCTCTTTCAGTTGATATTATGGTCATAGACGTACCTTCTCGTAGCCCTCGTCTATGAGCTGCGAACCAACAGCGTAGAAAATCACACGATTGAAGAAAGTGGGTAGGTAGCGACTGTACTTGATGGTGGGCACGTCAATGAAATCGCGATCTGGCTTGTAGAGAACGATGACGCCCAGTATAAAGGCAAGAGCGAGGCTCAAATGCCAAAGACATAATCCCAGGTCTTCGAGCATCGTGAAGAAAAGGGAGGCTTGTCGTTGGGTGTCTTGATGGATCTGGATAAGGTGAGGAAAAATGAAGGAAGAGTCGATCTGTGCAAAGAAAAATGGAAAAGGGAGTTGTCAGAATATGATTAAACAGAGCAAAAGAGGGGATATTGTATAAACAGGGCAAATTTCATTCTGTGATTGTCTGCATTCACTGCTTCCTCTTTGCCATTCACTGAGCAATCTCTATAACAAGACAGGAATAGTGAATAAACAATTTTAAGAGAACAATCATACTTGGAGTACTACAGCTATTACATATCCCCTGATTTTCTTTCACTGTCATGTGCTCATGTATGTCTCTGAACAGAGCTTATAGAAAAGATGTTAGGGTTGTTTTCAATCTTGCTTGCATGACAAACAGGCGACAAAGAAAAGTAGAACAGACCAGTTCCGAATATAAATATAGATAGTGACTGTTTGATTGAGCTTACACAGGATCTCTTAAAAGATCTTAGACCATCTGTCTATTGAATCAATTGAACTTTTGACCATCCCCTTTTATCTTTCCAGGTATATCAGTAGACGAAACGCCAGGCGCAGATGCAATAGAAACAGGAAGAACATAGAAGAAATGTATATAGATACAGATATACAGAATAAATCCAATTACTCGAGCCCAATCCACCCATCTTCACCATTGTCCTCATCGGCATCAGCCATGTTGTCATCATGTCCGTTGGCATCGTCACCATCCTCGATTTGCGAAAGGAGAGGAGCACTGGGCTTCTTGTTGGCAAGCACGGGCTGCGAGAGAAGATACTTGAGGTTGTATGCGTTGCGCTCTGTCAGCTTCTTCAGGTTGTCGCGAATGTCATCAATGGCGCGCTGGACGGCACGAAGTTCCTGAGCAAACGTGCCTGAGTTGTCCTTGAGGTACCGACCATGGCTGCTCAGTATAGACTCGAACCAGAGAAGGTTGAATTCGAGATGAGGCGTTTCTTCAGCAGCATAAGCGACAAAACGGAGGAGACGGGGTAGGTAGACAGTGGGCAAGGAGCGGACAACATGGGGGATGTTGGATGGGGGAATTCCTTCGTAGACGGCACGAATAAGTTTCGATTCGTTGAGACGGAATGCCATGACCAATGCTTTCAGGAACGTAGCGTCATCATCAGCGATGTCGGACTTGGATGCCTTCTTAGCGTTCTCGAGGGTGGAGAGGATGGTAGATGGCGTGATGTCGATATCGAGATCGAAGGGATCGAAGATGAATTCTGTATCCAGGCTGTAGATGAGAAGACCTTCTGTGGAAGCTGCACAGAATGCACGACCCGTGGGCGCAATGTCGACAGATGTGACGCGCACTTCGGGACGAGTCCGACGGGCACCTGCGTCACCACGTTTAGCACCAGGGAGGGCACGGTCGATGCGATCTTCCAGATCGGATGCTTCGCCTGTCTCGTCAATGAGACCCCGGGGGCCTGCTTCGGTTAGGTCGCGACTGTTGAGGAATTCCTGGGTACCGTCAAGAGAGGTGTTGACGGAAACCGTAAACTTCTTCACCAACGAGCCAGTCCTCACATCGTACAAACAGATGAACTTGCTGTTACCTCCAGCCAGAATACAACTGCCGTCAGCACTGTACGTAATTCGGTTGAAAGACTTGGTTCCTTCCGCGGTGGCTGCGGTCCGGCGGTCAGACACCTTACGACCTCCGGAGACGTCGCGACGTCCGTCAACACCACCCTGCTGGACTGCGTCTTCCACAGACCAGAAAGATAATTGGCCGTCCAAGCTGGATGCGGCCACTTGCTTGCCATCCGGTCGGAATGCGACACACAGAACGTCCGACATGAGCTGCAGAGGCTCGCTAGTCTGAGATCGACCGAAAATGCTCCATATCCGAACGGTGCGGTCCCAGCTACCGCTGACCAAATGACTGCCATCGGCAGCAAAGGCAAGGCTGACAATAGGACCTTCATGGCCTGACAGCTGATCCAGCAACTGTCCAGTCTGAACCGACCACACATGAATGTCGAATGAATCCGGAGAGCCAGCGCAGACCACTTCGCCGCTGGGGTCAACCGCGAGCGACGAGAAGGACAATCGAGAAGGTGCCGTAAAGGTTCGGAAGTTACGGTAACGAATAAGGTCCCATGCACGTACAGAGCCGTCCAAAGATGAGGTATATAAAACACTACCCTTCTTGGCGAACTCGCATGCAGTCACTCCACTGGTATGCTCTGTGAAAGTCACAATGCAGAAGCCGGATTTGACGTCCCAAACCTTGATCTTTCCGTCGTCAGAGGCGGTGACAATCTTTTGGCTATCAGGAGAGTAAGCGATCGCATTCATCGAGTCCAAGTGACCCTGCTGCTTCAGGATGTACGACTCTGATTGCCATTCCCATACAAGCAACTGGCCATGCTTCGACGAACCAAGCGCCAGCCACTCTCCAGACTGATTGATCGTGACATAGTCGATATTACTCTGCGAGACACTCAGGAGATGGATCGGGTTGAAATCGGGAAGGTCGTAGAGGCCAAACAGGCCATTGGAGAAACCCACGATCAAGAGACCTGTAGCAGCGTGGAATGTAGCGCAGTTCACCTTAGCATCCTGCTGCATGAAATAGTCCTTCTTGACGATTCTCCATCGGGCATCTGAGATGTCTTCCATGGTCTCTGGATCCTTCTTTGCGACATATTCCCACCTGAACAAGGCACCATCTTGACTAACGGTGTAGATCTAAATGCGAAATATATTAGACGTGGGGGAAAAACAAAAGGTGGATATGTAGACTTACTGCTTCTTGATTAGCTGAGAAGTATGCACCCTTGACACCCTGCCGGTGTCCTGCCAAAGTTGTAGGCTCAAATCCCTCCTCCGGATCCAAGCTCCATATCCGTGCGGTCAAATCCTTAGAGGCCGTGAGCACGAAGCGAGAATCACTGGACCACTCGAGATGCTCAATAGCATCAAAATGACCTGCCAGGTCGCGGTGGAGTACAAATGGAGCGAATTCGAGCTCTCCATTGGTATCCGTTCCCGGTGTCGATGGAGTGTGCCAGAATTGCAATCGTCTCCCTGTACCAACTGCGAAAAATCGCCCCGACGGAGAGAATTTGAGGGCGGACACACGTCCCTTAAAGGAGAAGTGATGAATCACAATTCTGCGATAGAAATTTGTTAAAATCGCACGGCCATTCTCGTCGACAGAAAGCAATAAATTGCCCTTGGGCGATAGGTCCAACCGGTCGATGTTGGTGCGATGCGCAAACGGGAGAGTATAGGAGGTATTGCTTGCGAGAAGTCAGCTCATTGCCATGATAGTACAATCAATATTAGCGAGAATTTAGTGATACATACTGCACCAGGTCAAAAACCGAGACCCGATTGCCTACCGGCGACAGCAGACAGGTTCCATCGGGAGTAAAAAGCAGGTTGCCTTTGCGATAGACTGTCCCTAGAAGGTTGGAGAACTAACAGTAGTCAGAAAGAGTCTTAGAGACCTCATATAGCAGAAGCATACCTTGAAATCCGTCTTCATGGTGTCAATAGTCCACTTGACGTTTTTTCTCTTTTGCGCTCGCCCAAAAAATGTCTTCCTAAACGGGCGATAAGAGAAGAACAGATAAAACGTTAATCCGCTCCGAGATTAACTAGTCCTACAATGGTAGGGTGCTATCCGGGGGTCCCGCCATACCCGGATAGGACTAGCGGCGCGTGATCCACCAATTCAGGGGCAACTCCAAGCCTGGAATTGATTTCGCCCAAAGAAGGCACGCCGGCGACTTTGGATCGGGAGCTTCCAGCCTGCGTTCTTCTCTATTTCTCTTCTTCGACCTCCTTCCCTCATCTCCCTTTTGCTTTCCCCCCTCCCCCATTGTCTGTGCCAGTTTTGTTTGTGCTTCACTGGCTTCATTTCCTCTCCGTTGGCCTTATCTTCTTTCACCCCCTCCCTACGGTCCGGATTTGTTGTCCCTATTCCCCTCCATCATTTTGACATTGTCGGTGATCGGTTCTTGCTTGTTTAACCCCTATTATCATCATGGCACCTACTACAGAGACTGCTTCACCCATTGGCATTGCCAATGTAAGTCATCGAATCCCAGATTCAATATACAATAGAATGAGGGGAACGTTTGCTAACTTTTTTGTTTCTTTAGCTGCCCAACCAACGGTGTGTACATCTTTACTATTGCAACAGTTGCGATTGAAATAGAAGGAACGATGGAAATCCTAATTGTGGTGATTAAAACAGGCACAAGATTGTTGCTAAGCGGGGTGCGGCGTTTACTATCATGGTGGGTTCTCGGTCTTATAGTTACAAACAAGAAATGGTCCATGCTGACGGTGGAGGCTAGGTTGCTGGAGAGTCGGGATTGGGAAAGACCACTTTCATCAACACTCTGTTTTCGACTACCATTAAGAACTACGCCGACCACAAGCGCCGTCACCAGAAGCAGATCGACCGTACCGTCGAAATCGAGATCACCAAGGCTGAGCTGGAGGAGAAGTTCTTCAAAGGTTGTTCATGGATGGATCCTGGGTCGTGACAAAGTTGCTAATAATGGCTGGACTACGCAGTTCGTCTGACCGTTATTGACACTCCCGGTTTCGGAGACTACGTCAACAACCGTGACTCCTGGCAACCCATCATCGAGTTCCTCGACGACCAGCATGAATCGTACATGTTGCAAGAGCAGCAGCCCCGTCGCACAGACAAGATTGACATGCGTGTTCACGCTTGTTTGTACTTCATCAGACCGACCGGCCACACCCTGAAGCCCCTCGACATCGAAGTGATGAAGCGGTTGAGCTCGCGTGTCAACCTCATTCCCGTCATTGCCAAGGCCGATACTCTTAGCCCCGCGGACCTGGCCCGCTACAAGACGAGGGTAAGAAAATCGAAAGAGGACATTTATGGATCAAGCTGACTGTCATAGGTCCAAAATGTTATCGAAGCTCAGGGCATCAAGATCTACACCCCACCGATTGAGGAGGATGACGAGCACGCCGCTGCCCACGCTCGCAGCTTGATGGCCGCCATGCCCTACGCTGTGATTGGATCCGAGAAAGATGTCAAAACCCACGACAACCGTGTCGTTAAGGGTCGCCAGTACGCTTGGGGCGTTGCTGAAGTCGAGAATGAGGACCATTGCGACTTCAAGAAGCTGCGTTCGATTCTTATCCGCACCCACATGCTCGACCTCATCCACACCACCGAAGAGCAACACTACGAGGCGTACCGTGCACAGCAGATGGAGACGAGGAAATTTGGCGAGGCCCGACCCCGGAAGCTGGATAACCCCAAGTTCAAGGAAGAAGAGGAATCCCTGCGGAAGCGTTTCACAGAGCAGGTCAAGGTGGAAGAGCAACGGTTCCGCCAGTGGGAACAGAAGCTCATTGCCGAGAGAGACCGCCTCAACAAGGACTTGGAAGCCACACATGCTGCGTACGTTTCAACCCCATTATGCGTGAAGAGTTCATAGACTGACCGGCATAGGATCAAATCACTCGAGCAAGAGATCGAGCACCTGCAAGGCCCGAGTACCCGAAGCCACGGACGTCGTTAAGATATTGTGGCCATTGCTATGAACGAAGTGGAAGGACAAAACCCCACGGAGGATGGTATATGCGACTTCTTCATTCCTGTTTATTCTTGATTACCCCCATTTCTTCGGTTTTCGTGCGTATCGGGGCAGTATCCATAATGGGCTGTTGCTCGGCCGTGATACGTTGGTTACCCTTTTTATTTCTTTATTTATTTTGCCGGCTGGTAGCTAGCGATGGTTCTCTTTACATCGTTGATAATACTGAGTTGTATTCGTAGCGTGTCAATACAATTAATCTCTGTTTGTTGGGTGCATTCGCTCGTCGGCGGTGAAGTAGAAGTCCGTCTTCGGCATAATGCTGGAGTAGATCTCCATTATTCAAGTAAATCATCTCTACAAATCCTTCATTATTTGAGCCTAGTATACTGTCCATGTCTGCGAAACAATTCTCCAGCCAGCACCTTCACACCCTCAAAACACATAATGGCAAGCTCCCCGCAGCTCCAGTTCCATCTCCGATGAAAACTAACCAAGCACCCAGGCCCGGTCAATGCCATCACATTCTCCAGCTCCCCGGGAACCTACCTGCTAACAGGATCCTCCGATCGCTCAATCCACCTCTCGCGTGCAGTCCCCAGCAGCACGAACACGTACCCCGCAGAATCCACCGCCCCAATCCAACGCTACGAAGCCCACGGCTACTCCGTCCTCGACATCGCCGTGACCGCAGATAATGCGCGCTTCGCCAGCGTGGGCGGAGATCGTGCGGTGTTTCTCTGGGATGTGGAACAGGGTATTACAACGCGTCGCTGGAGCGGACATAATGCGCGTATTGAAACGGTGCAGTTTGCGGGTGAGGGGGATGCGGTTGTTGTTTCTGGTACATCCCCCAACAAACTACATTGATCAGTTTCCAATATACTAATATTAATAATGGACAGGCAGCGCAGACACAACGATAAATCTCTGGGACGCCCGTGCCTCCTCCCCAAAACCTCTCCAGACCCTCCCCGAAGCCACCGATACCGTTTCCACACTTCACGCGCACATGCCAACATACTCCATATCCAGCGGGAGCTACGACGGACGCGTACGGATCTACGACATTAGGATGGGACAGACGACTGTCGACGTCCTTGGTGCTCCGGTGACGAGTGTACGGTGCTCGGGGGATGGCAATGCGGTGCTTGCCAGTACATTGGATGGAAGGATTAGGGTGCTTGACCGGGGAGATGGGAAATTGCTCAAGGCTTTTCCAGGAGAGAAAGAGAAAGAGAAAGAGGGGAAGGGACCGGTTTATCGGAACGAAGAGCTGCGAATTCGATCTGTTTTCGCTGCAAATGATGGGGTTGTGCTTAGTGGGAGTGAAGCTGAGAAGGGTGAGGAGGATAAAAGAGCTTGGGGTGGACGGTTTGTTCAAGCAGGTATTCAATCACAGTCGCAATCCAAGAAGCAAGCTCAAGCGTATGTGTTTGCTTGGGATGTGCTGAGTGGTGAGGCTATCGCGAGTGTTCCTGCTGGGGAGGGCGTGAGGGCTGTTAGTTGTGTGGCGTGGAATGAGAAACGGGGGCAGTGGGCTGGGGGGTGTTCGGATGGTATGCTCTCGCCCTGTGGTTCTGATGCTGGTTGTGGTGACCTGACTGCTAATTGATGTGTAGGGACTGTTAAGGTGTATGGTTGATGGATATCAGTGATATGATTCTACAGCTTTCTTTTAAGGGTATCCCCAATGGCTCATCGTGAGACAGCAGTCAATCTCCTATCAATACCGGTTGGGATTATGCCATAGAAGGGTATGAAAAACAACCTCGGCACTGACAACCTGGACAGTCCGTTATCGTTCAGTGTGTTCAATCTAAACTGGACTGCTTCCTCCGATGTCGGCATTATTACCAAGGAAACAAGCCTGACTACAAGTCCAGATACGAGTGATGAATATAATGAGTAGCAAACTGCTATTTCTTCTGTCATGTACTATACATACCCGCTCCAGCTGAATCCTAATACATGGGTTCTGTTAACCCAGATTCCCTTTTCTGTTCTGTTTTCCACGACACCACAACACCCAAGGCGCCCCCCCAACCCCAAACAAAAGGAAAGAGAAAAACAAAAAGGAGAATACTCGCCCAAAAACAGAAATTTTTCAACCCGTATCACACCGTCCCAACCAACACCAGGCCAAAACACACAAGACGAGACCAGAAGAGAAAAGACAGGAAAAATCAATCCTCAAACCCCTGAATCAACCCATCGTCCAACTCCCGCTGCTCCCGACTCTCGGCCTCCAACGCATCCACAGCACGAGTCAACTCGTACTCACCAACAAGGATCGTCCCAGCCCTCGCTGTGCTCAAGAAACTAATCTCCACAGCCGTATCGAGCGAGATATCAAAGTCAGGTTGTAACCGGTGCATAGGCATAGACGTATTCGCGTGGATATAGGCTAAGCGGACTGGTCCACCGTTACCAACGCTGCCAGGAGTGCCGTTGGAACTTCCGGCGCTTGAGGAGAAGACGTTCTTGACGAAACTGTCGAAGGATGAAGAGTGTAACGTAGAACGGGAATTGGAGGAGAGCGCTGCGATGCTTGTTGTTGAAGTCGAGGCATTTGTGGACTGGTCCAGGGTTCTGCTGTCGTTGTTATTGCTGTGGGTTGCTTCTGCGAGACGGCTGGCAACGCCGCAGACGATACCTGTCGCTTCGAGGGGGAGCTTGCGGAGATCGAGCATGATGGGCACGAGGATTTCTTCTTTCGAGCCTAGGAGGAGACTTGATTCGTCGTCGTTTAATTCGGATGTGGAATCTGCAGTGGAGGAGAAGAAGCGTGGGAGGAGGCGCTTTTCAAGGAGGAGGGAGGCGGCAGGGTCAGCGGCTGTTAGGGTCAGGGAGAGGAAGCGTGGGTTATCCACGAGTAAGGTTGTGGTGAGGGCTTCGCGGAGGATGGAGATAGAGCTGGCGTCGCTTGTGTAGCGGCGGTGTGCGGCACATTGGACGAGACGCAGGGAGCGATCGACAGAGGGGAGGATGTGGTTTTTGTGGAGGGAGGAGAAGGTGCGGGTTTGTAGTTCGTCCAGTGTTGAAGGTGGTGGTGTGGATGGAGGAGAGCCCATGCTGCTCGGAGAGCGCGAAGATGCCGGACTAAAGCAGCGATTGAACTGGCTGTGGTGACTGTTGGCGAAAGTCTCGGTGGATATTTCGAATTGAAAGCCACGGTTCTCAAGAGCCTCGATGACTTGGTTTTTGGATTTGTAGGGAACGATGATGTAGTCAGAGAAGTAAGTCGAGACGAAAAAGATAGAACTTTCCGGTCAGCCCTATACACCATACAGGCAGGGGAAAGACGTACATTCCCGCCATAGCCAACGGACTCGTCAACTCAAGAACCCGCTGACCAGCCTCCAAGCCCTCGCCGTAGACCTGCATGGCAATAAAATCGTCCCTCGTGATAGACAAACTGTCCGATTCAGACGAAACAGCTCGAAACCCCTCAACCAGCGGGGCAAAGTACCGATCAGCCAACTTCCGCGGACACATCACAGAGCACTCGACTGGCGTGATCGAGATATTCAAGAACGCAGGCTGCTCTGGTGCAGCTGTGACTGTGCCGTCCTCGAGAGCAGGTCCATCGTCCACGTTGATGTCCACGACAGTCTCTCTATCGTCATCCAGAGGACTAACCTCGTGGAAAAGCACCTGCAAAATAGGCTTCAGGAAGAACGAATATAAGTCCAGAGGAATATGCACCAGGGCCAAGCGGTCCTCCTGTACCTCGACGACAGTGGTTAGTGAAAGAAGAATTGCCATGATTGCAACATTCAGATAAATACTGGAGGCTTGCTCACCATGAACTGCACCTGAGCAGATATCATAGAAATAGATTGATCCATTATGGCCCACAGAGGCAATTCAGATCGATGCTGAGAGAGCCTGAAGACTTCACCAGTTCGTTAAGGATGTAGGAGAGTAGAAGTAAGACTGTCTAGCATTCACTGAACTGGCAGATGTGAATAAAGTAAGTGAATTTTTCTGGCATAGTCACCCCTTACACCATGCTGCAATGCCAGCAGAGAAGCACGCATAAATGTACAGGGAATCTACTATGAATCAGCTATACATAGTTATAGAGGCAGTCGAGAGGCAAGCATGGCGTCAGTTGCCGGAGAGAGCACGCAGGCATACCTTCTGTTAGGGAACAGTTGTACAATTAAGAGTAGTTACGATGAAAAAAAAAAGAAATAAGGAAACGGCGACAAAAGAAAAAGAAATATCGAATTAAAAAGATTTGTAAATCGAGTTTGCAACGCGTTATCTTTCATTATGCATTCTTTATCGCTTTATCTATCGCCGTCGTTGATGCAACGTTTATCGCCGGAGTGCTTCATTGCCACCAAATACGGTAAATTCCTATACACACTAGATAATAACGAAGAGGCAACGCCTGCAATGCACCAATGATCCCAATACAAAAAATGTACGCAGTAGATAAAAATCAATCGTCATCCACTCGCGCCCGCTTCGATCCACGGTCTTCCTGGTCGGCTTCCTGAATGCCATAGCGCTTCTGCCCTGCGCCTCCTGTCACATCTGCAATCATGTTGTCGATGCCAAAAGGATCGGCTGTGTCTTTTTCAAATTGTACAGGGCCTTCACGGGACTAGTAGAGTAAAGTTAGCAGGCAGATATGTAAGAATAATTGGGAGGGAAAAAGTACCTCATCTGTAGCTCCCCGGAATCCCTCCTTTGCCTTGCCCAACACTTCGAACCGGCTCGACTTCTGAATCTTGCTCATCTCTGTATCCGCAGACTCCTCATCGTCTACATCTACCTGCGCCCGTGGCCGGTATATGCTGTTGATCGCGTCTTGCGCTGCGAACAATGGCTTGTCGTATGGGTTATCCTCGTTGAAGCCTGCGTTCAGGCCGCTCGTCTGATTAAACAATCGCGAGTCCCACATCGCCTCCGAGGACTGTGTGGGCTTCGCCAGCCCCAACGCCACCTTCTCCGAGATATCACGGTTCTGTTCACGCGCCATGTGCTGAATCCGGCGCTCAGTGCCCATGCGCGATTGCCGAAGCTGCCGCTCTGCATCCTGGCGGCGCTCGCGACGCATGCGCTCTCGTTCACGAGCTTCTGATTCGTCCTCGCCGGGCGTGGCCGACCGTGACGAATAAGCAGAGGGACTACGGCTGACGCTGCGGGATCGAGATCGTGCCTCACGACGAGCTGCACCGCCAGCACTGGACCCCGCTCGCTGCTCTCGGGCCTTCTGGGCGAGCGACCGCAGATGCTCTTCTTTCTGCGCCTTCTCCTTCTCCGCCAGCTTCTGCTGCATCTGCGCACGTAGCCGGACCTCCTCACGAGCATGTCGGTCCGCAGTAAACAGCGCCTCGGCAAACTGGGCGAATTTGTCATTAATTGAGACATCCTGTAAGCCACGCCCGTCCGCAGCCAGACGCTTATCCAATGGAACTGTGTAACCCTTGGGATTCTTCCAATTTGACACAGGCGGCGGGATCTTCCACGCCTCTTGATCCTCCGCCGTTAATTTCCTAGGCGGCGAGTGCAAAATGGGCGGGGGCGGCGACGGCGGTCCACGAGGAATCTTCTTGTGCTTGAATTTCGGCGGCTCCATCGGATCCTGCTGTCTCTCCACGATCTTCATAATCCGATCATTCTTCCCACCTCCATTCCCCGAAGACGAATCTCCCATCTGATTCGCCGGCGTATACCTCACAAACGTCGGCTCAGCCCTCCTACCACCCTTGACATTCTTAGGCTTCTGCGCCGCCACAGCACCATCGACCAGATTCGCCAGCGCATTCTTCGTCTTTTCCATCTGCTCATTCACCTCGTCCTCCGATGGTCTGTCCAGTGAGACCTCACCCATATCCACCCGCTGCCGCAGCGGAATCAGATCCTTGAACGACGCATGCACGACTCGGTCGTCACTGTGGCCGCGGCGCGCGATCGCATCGTATTTCACTTTTCCTTCCGCGTCGACTTGCACCGCCAGAGCATTCGATTTCGAGGCCATGCCTTTACGGCCCATGTCGAGGGGGTATTGGGCGACTAGGATCTCGGGGAACGCACCACCGTCGCCGAAGTCTTCGGCTGAGCGAGGGCGCCATCCTGTTCGGTTTCCGTATGGAGGGGGACCGGTTCTCTATTCCGAGTAAGCATTTTTCAGAATTGAATAGGTATTTCAGTATAAAAGTACTCACCCTTAACACAACTTGCGTCTCATCAATCTGGTCAGCGCCAACCACTCGCGGCCCACGGGGCTGCGCGTGCTGAGGCAGCTCCTCCTCCTCACCGGTGTATTTTGGCTTCGGAAGAGACTTGAAAAGTCCCTCTGCTATTGATGTCATTGTCCCCGTTGATATATGGAATAATTAAAGATAAGAAAGTGGAAAAGTTGATGAGGTTTTCTGTCTGGAATTCGCCGTCGAAGTCGGTCGCTTTCTGCCAGTTGCGTTTTTGGTTGTCTGGGCTGCCGTACTTGATATGCAGATATGGCCAAAATTACTACGATTTATCAAGAGATTAAATGAGTAGTGGGACAATAGTCGTATAAACATTTATTCATATTATGCTAGCAATACATGGGCGATTCCAAGAAAGAGTGGAAATCATCAAAATAGGTGTATAATACAAGCCAGAAGCAGAGATCGAAGAGTACATGAGAGCAGAGAATGCATAAAATACAGTTATCAAAAGCGAGAAAACTACCGCAAATGTACTCGCATGGGGCAGCTAATTCCCTCAGTGTCATTCGCTTCCGTGTAGTGTTCTTTACCGTGATATCTATACCACACCTTCAACGTCTTGGGCAGCAGCGGTGCCGGATCGTGGAAGCCAAGAAGTTGGAACTGCGTTAGATGTTAATTATCGTCCCGGCATATAGTATACTTATTGGGCAAAGGGAGCAACTCACTTTATGCACCTCCCGCGAAATCACCAACTGTCCACGATCCACCAGCGCCGCCACAGGTATGGTAACATCAACCACCTCGTAATCCTTGGGATCATACCCCTTCACCTTCTTTCCAGACGACATATACCCATACTGAGCCTTGGTAATCACCAACCCATTCTGCGCTTCTTCCCTCGCCTGCCGACGTTGTACCTGCTCAGCCATGAGCTCAATAGCCTGCGTACTATCCGCCCTCTTTTTCGGAATTTGCCTTCTCAGCTGTTTCTGTTTCCGCGCGATCAATCGGCGGCGGCTCTTCCGCTCGCGAGGGCGGAGGTATCCGAACTCGACCGCACAATAAGTCAGCCATGGGAAGACGACTGCTGCAATGCCAACATCCCAGTTGATATTGTCATATGTGCAGACGGTGATAGGGAGTTTGAGCTTTTGGCCCAGTCGGCTCCAGGAGACTGTTAGTGCCAGACCTTGGCCACCTTGAAGACCGACACCCAACCCCATGCGGGTGTATTCGCCAACTTGGCGGACGCCTTCGACGCTAAAGGCGAGTCCCATGTCAAGAGTGGCATTAGCCTCGACTTCTAACCGTACAGATCGTTTTTCTGGCTCTGCAGGGACGCCGTAATAACCTTCAGAGGTCCATTCAGAACGAACAGGTTCATTAGCCGGTTTCCCGGAGAACAAATTACGTCCGTAGCCGAAGACCAACGCGCCTTGTGCTGGTGTTGCTTGGACCTGGACTCGCCATGACTCAGCGGCTTGGTCGACCTTGCGCTTGTTCTCACGTAGTTCTTGGAACTCTACATCATCCTCGTCATCTTCATCATCTTCCAATGAGATGACCTTCTGAGAGCGACTCGGTTCTGAGACAATACCAACGTTTAATGAACTGGCTTGTTGGAACGCTGCCATCGCAAGGCCGGCATTTATACCCATTTCATCCCCCGGGTTGAGGAACCGGTGAATCGACCGTGGCCAGGACAAAGTACCACTTGACCAAGAAACGAACGCATGCTTTCTCCTGCTGATCTGTTTCTGCGTCCCAAGGGAAATTGTTGGCGGCGTCATGTGCGGCCAGTTCATGAAGGCGTTCGAGAACATAACTCTAAACGGATATGCTCCGGGTACCGGTGCAACAGCCTTGGTAATTGACGTGGTAAAAAACGGGAACGGCAGGATATGGGCATTGACAGCGGTGCCAGAGCTACTGAGATATGTGAAAGGCCATTTACTTAGGATGCCCTTGGTGCTGGTCATATCTCCAAACACGCGGCTGACCGTTGCCCCGAGGGTTACCTCCGGTGTAGACATTACTGGCCGTAGAGGGATCTTACGCCAGTCAGTTTCACACGTTTTCTTAGTCAAAGTGTAAGGCCTACCTCTGCTGACCCCTCCCTACCATCCTCATATCGTAACTGAGCCTCCTGCACCAAATGCTCCACGGGTCCCGAAATGCCTGCATTAATAGTCAACTCGGGCTTAAAAAGCTCCTCATCATAGACATTCTTCTCCTTCGTCCCCTCCTCCTTCTCCTCCTCCTCATCCTCTTTCACAATCTCCTCCTTCACAATCTCCCCAAATACCCCCTCCCAAGTCGGAAACGGCGCCTTAAAAGTATACCCCACAGCAAAAGACCCCGTCTTCACTTCAGGCACATGCACAAAAAACTCCGTCCCATCCTCCGACAACTCAACCATATCCGACGCATCAAGCCCCAATGTAACTGCCCCCCGACTCTGCACCATACTATTAACAGCAACCCTCTCCCTCTTCCTCATCAACTCGAGAAACCATTTCCGAAACTCCTCGGGACTCTTCGCCTTCACCCCAACTTCCCTCTTCCCTCCCATGGTCCCCGTCGCACTCCATTCTGCGCGTACTCCCTCTGCGCCGAGGAGGTCGTAGACTGTGCGTTTTCGCGCATCAATGAGTGTCTCGTAGGCTTCGTGGATGCGCTCGAAGTGGCGTTGGGCAGCTTCACGGAGGTGAGACGGTTGTTTGTCGGGATGGAAGCTGAAGGTGAGGGTGCGGTAGGCGGTGCGGATTTCGGGGTCTGTCGGGGGTGGGTTGCGCGGGAGGCCTAGGAGGGCGTAGTAGTTGTCTTCATCGTCGGGGGGTTGGGGGTAGGTTTGGAGGGTTGTGTAAGTAGATTCGTCGGACATGGGTTAAGTTCGCGTTGGTGATGATGATGGTGGTGGGTTGGGAATTTGCGGTTCTTTTTTGCACTGCGCTGTGGACCCTGTGGGTGTTGGTGAATGCGACTTTTTTCTGGTTCTCTTGGGAATATAGCCGTGTTTGTTAACAGTCCATTATAACGTGTTTATGGTTCTGAGAAGCAGTGCTCAACGCTTGTCGTCGTGGGAATGTAAAAAAAAAAAAAAAAAAAAAAAAAAAA